TCTGAGATGATTTTGCTCTAATGCAATCTAGTCTAGTATCAGTGAATTACATATATATGTATAACCTTTAAGGTTTAAAGGGTAATTTCACCATATTACCAAAAGGGTTTTTTTTCAGTTCCATGTGTTATGTGCCAAGATTTTGAAATAGCCTGATCTTAACAAAAATTGAATAAAGTAAGAAAGTAGACATAAGAGATTGAGATTTAGTTTTAAATATAAATCTGGTTGTTTCTTAATGAGCACAGAGACTGCAGATTTCTGTTATCTCTGACCTTTACTGCTTTATAATTTCACTGATGAATACATCTTCAGCTGGAGAGGAAAACCTAAGCAGTTGCTGTGGTGTAAAAACAAGTGAAAAATCAGGTCCTAATGGGAATGACAATCCTTATGTAACAAATCAGAGAGTTCTTTGAGCCAACACTAGAAAACCAGCAACATCACCAAAAACCCCCCAAAAAAACCCTTTAAGAAACCCTCCTTTTTCATCATATCAAACGTAATGTTGGTAGCAGAGGAGGTGGGGGAGCAGGTTTCAGAGCCAGATGCAGACAGCTGTCATGGAAACAGACACCACTTTGTTCATCTCTCCATCTTTTACTGTGACTCCTCATGTGCTTCCCTCCATCGATGTAGTGTAGAGCAGTGTTGGGGAGAAGTGAACTACATTAAATAAAAAATATAGTTCAACTACATTCATATTTATGTAGTGATATCAGTAGTTACAGCCCTATTGTTTTGCCTTTTTTGATGTAGTTACTACTGAAACTACAATTTTGGGTCATAAAAGGATGAATGAGAATGATTTTTTATTCTAAGAACTTCAAGAGACAGCTTGTGTGTAAACAAGAGATTTTGTTCTGACAAGTAAAAAGACCTGGCCCGTTGTTTAGACCGGTGTTCAAGCTGTTCATACTGTCTGAAAAGGTGCAGGTTGAAGTTTTAGTTGTACAACTTGATTGTACAAGCCAGATGTTACAAAACTGAAACTGACGAGTAAGATGACAGGCCCTTTTGTTTTAGACCAGTGCTCAAGTCAATCATATGGTCGAAAAAGTAAAATATTTTTTCTTTTGTTCTTCACATAATACAAACTCCAAAATATAACATTTCTACTTCAATTCCATTTTGTCCTGAAAGGACGGTTTTGTTTAGGACAGGTTTAGGTGTCATATATATCATATGATTCATATTTTTAATTAGTTTTACAAAGTAGTTGACTCAGACAGCACAAAAACTCAAGACGTGATCTCATTGATTTGAGTAAATCACTCACATAACTTCGGAGACTCTCCAACACAGACATGACCAAATATTATAAGACAAACCTTGGCAACTCCAGACATGATCTCAGCAATTTGAATATTAAAGAGTAATTTAGGATTGTAAATTAAAAGCCTGTTGGGTTTGGGCAGACATGTGCTTTGTTCCTCCCTGCAGCGAGGTGAGAATCTAACCCACCGGAGAGCCGTTTCTTCATATGAACTCCAGACAATGTCCAGAGATTCAGGTCTGTTGCCCTTTAACACATATAGCACACAGCAGGTGTTTAAGTCGTGGCTACCTTGTGATTGACAAGTCATTCTTATCGAGTCCATGAGCAGGCGAGCCATCATTGTTTCCTGCTACAGACGAGTCACCGCTGCTGGCCTGCAAAGCATCAACATGGCGACGGCCATAATGCCAGACTTAAAGCCTTCAAAACAGTACTCCTCAAACCATGGAATATGTCACAATAGGTTCACGTTTGGCCTGGATAAGTTCAGGGTGTCAGTGCATGTGTGAAAGGGACTGACAACAAAAACAAGATTTTCAATGGGTGCTAAGTTATTCTTTAACTCAGCGACTTGGATCTGGCCTCGACAATTTAGACACAAGGTCAGTTAGACATGGCCTCAACAACTCGGACATTACTTCAGTGACTCGGACATGACCTCAGTGACTTAGCTGTGACCTCAGGAACTAAGACATGACCTCATCAATCTGGACGTAATCTTGGCAGGACCGCAGCAGCTAAGCCACGACCTCAATGACCAAACGTGACCGTGACCGTGACTCTGATGCAATCTCTAACTTCGCGGGACTCAACTTGGACTTGGACTGAAGTGACTTGTCTACAACACCAGCATAGTCGGAGGTAATTTCCTGTCAAGCAGCTGAATGTCTGCATGAAGTTTTCTTTCTTCCCCATCAGAACTGCGAGCACTTTGGCGAACATCCCCCACTCAGTGTCAGATGGTTTGTGGTGTGTCAGAGAGTTCTTCCACCCCGGCAGAACATTCTGGTTTATTGTAGACACTGTTGGTCTAAAAATTGACAAAGCCTCTTACTGAAGTGTTAGCAGGATGTTTCTAATGTCTGGTTTGTTAAGTTTCTTTACAGTTTGCTCTGTCTTCTTCCCCTCCAGCAGGGCAGCGGTGGACCAATGCCAGAGCTCGGTCTGCCGAGGAGACATGTGTGTGTTGAGGAGGAGTGCTAACGAGGCTCAGCCAGCTAGGAGGTGAAGATAATGCGAGGTGACCTTTGACCTCCGAGAGGAGCTCTCTCTCAGACTGGGTTGCCTCTGGCGGGGTCAAGGCGCCCCACACTCGCCGCGAGGCAGCGGTCGGGGTCAGATTGAGGAACCCCCGAGCCTCCGTCCTGCCGTTTCCAACATCGACACCGACCAATCGACCGGCCGCAGGAGGACCGAGGAGGAGGAGGAGGCGGAGGAGGAAGAAGAAGGGAGCAAGGGAGGAAGACTGAGTCTCTAATTTCTCTTTCTTTCTGTTGCCATCAACAGAAAACATAATTTTCTACGAACACGTACAGAAGGTCTGCTGGAGGGAAGCAGTGGTGGAAGAAATACTCAGATACTTTACAAAAGTACAAGTAGCAACACAACTATATAAAAATACATTCATTACAAAACGTCCTTCACTCACAAGCTAACTTCAGTAAAAGGACAGAGAAACTGTCAGCAAAATGTACTAAAATAAGTAAAAGTAAAAGTACTCACTGTGTAGGAAGATGGTGTTGTATAATAAATATTGTATATACTATTTTATAGGATTACTATTACTGATCCAACAATGAATAAGTAGCCTTTTATTGTAGTAGTTGGTTATGGTTTAGCCAATGCTCACTGCTTTATAAACTGTTGGGCAGTTCACAGTTTCATGAGAACATTTCTGTAAATAATTACAGCTTGAAAACTTATTTTCCAAAAGCAAGTCAGTAGGAATGTTCTCGTTAAGTTTTTATTTTGAACCGTTTTGTCTCAAAACGCTGTAGAAGCGAGTGTCTGTAGCTTGAAACAAGACAGAATGAAAAAAACTTAGATTTAGGATTTGTGATAGATTGGAATATTCTTTCTGCACTGTCAGATTTACTGACTCAGTTACATGTAAAAGTGACTTTATAAGGCGATTTTGTGAACTGAGCAATTCATTATATTTATGTAACAGAGGTTTATTAATATGACAATTATTATACTTCAATGTTAATATAGCTGCCAAACCAATTAAGTGGTGTAAAAAGTACAATATTTAAATCTGAAACAGAAAGCAGAACAAAATAATAATACTTAAGTAAAGTAAAAAGTACCTCAAAATTGTACTTATACACAGTAGGTGAGGAAATACTTAAGTTACTTTTTATCCCTCATTAGAGGTAAAGAGAGGAAACTGACACGAAGAGAGAGAAGTTGAGGAGTTTGTGAGGAAGGAGACAGGAGGAGAGAGAGGAAAAAGAAAAGGAGTACGGTGGATCATTAATGTGTTAAGATGGAGCCATCGGTGGATCACATATATCACACACTTCTTTCAAGCTCTAGTAATTAATATTTTGTGTGGATTCATAAAATTAAATGTCTCCATCTTTGTCTTATAATTTTAGATTTAAATCTATACTCAAGAACTGACAACAAGATTGTGTGTATGTAAGTAATAACTGTTAAGTAGAGTTTATTTAAGATGCTCTTTAGTCACTTACCTAAAAGTATTTTGTTGTGTTGTTTGTTTTATAATTTTTCAGTCTGGTTTTGAATGTATGGTGTCAGAATAAGATTTTATCCTGTCTGTTAATGTTGTGAGAGATTGGATGACAGAGAGAATAGCCTCTGTTTGATGATGCTAAAGGGGATCCTAATAAATTAAATTAAATGTTTGCTCGAATTCCTCTAGGAGGTTCTGTTTTTACTCTACCCAGCATGAGATGATAAGGAGGCCTGCTTTGAACTGGTCTGTCAAATTCAACTGTATTTTCCATAATAGTCAAATATGGCACTTTTCAGTCTTCATTCGTATCGTGGCAATAAAAAGAAATAAAGTGAAAATCCGCATAAGCAGTCCATATAGACAGCTTCAGCCAAACACTTAAGGTCAATATTGTTTAATGTAATAATGTTGACTGGTTTACAGTCTGCTAGTCAAACTGGGAGCAGACATCTCCCAGTTTAATTTTGCGATCCGGATTTGATACGCCTTCACTCTCAATTGAGTTTGGCTGTAATAAACTTATTCCCAAACAATATTCCCAAAGCAATGAATGTGTATGAAGCAATATGCATCAAATGTGTCAATCAGTATTCAAACTGATCCTCCAATAAACCATAAATCCTGGTGTGCGGTTTTTTTTTATCTTTGTCTGGGCTTTAACAGTGACCTGCAGCTCCTCCTGCTGGATGATTGACTGCATTACAACAAGACTCACTCATTTCTGTATTTCTCTTTAGAGCAAACTAAAACCAACAAATATTATCCCTCCCACACAACTCCCTCCTTCCCAGACTGCCCCTGTTCTCCTTCTTGTAACTTCCTAGTCCTTGTCCAATCCTTATCCTTCCTACTCCCTCTCAGAACATCCTTTCCCCTCTTCATATTTCTCATTCACCTCCATACTCTTCATCACCTGTCAGTGCTGCTTTCCTCATCCATTTCCCTGCCTTCGCGCTCTCTCTCCCTCTCTCACTATTCTCCGTCTTCATTTCATTCTGCATCACAAAATACAAAAACTGGTAGCCGAAGCACAAACTTTATTTAGAGCAGCAGCACAAATTAAAATCAACTTCTTACAGAATAACTGACAAACACACAGATACCCCCTCCTGAGTTTTCTCTGTTGAAAGAAAAACAAACCTCTTAATCAAAGCAGTCAGCTGGCTTACAAACCAGAGTACACATGAACAGTCCTGCAGTAAATCTCTTCAATCAGAATCATCTCTTCTCTTCGCTCTGGTGCTGTTAAGGCTTCGCTGCTCCTTCTCTTGATAGTCTGTCGGCCTCCTCGTTGCCTTTGTAGCCAGAGTGACCTGGAACATGCAGCTGGAGGAAGACAAGCGTTTGATGCTTTAAACTCCAGATGGACAGTTTTTTTATTTCTTTGTCATATCTCTTCACCTTTGAGGGATCAGACGTTGGATGGTTAATGCCACGTTCATGTCATATGGGAGTTACTGTAATTACAGGTAGTGTTGATGCCAAACTTCTTACTTACAACTCAGAAACGTAGGCGGGTTCCGTCGTTCTGGAGAAAGATAGTTGATTGTTGAGTCTCATTCCTAACTCGTCAAATACTGACCACAAACAAACGTGTCGTGCTGACATTTTTAAGTACAGCCAAAGCGGCTGTATTTGACGACCCGAGAATGAGATTCAACAATCAACTATCTTTCTCCAGAACGACTGACCCAACATTTAATAATAAAAAAAGTGCCTGACAACCACAGCAAATATGATTGTCTCAAGTCAGCTGACGTCCATTTTTTTTAGGTCATTAAACCCAAATGTAATAGATATTGTGTTATATTATCAATTTTTCTATCCTCACGTGGCCAACTCTGCAGTCAGAAAGCTGTCTGGAGTTGCCCAATGACTTGCAAGTCATAAACATGTGAACTTTTACTATTAAGATCAAGAATTTTCCTCAAGGGGAACACAACCTTATGTTCTATTTGTGCCATCCAGCATCATTAAGTGTGAAGCTTTTTGTATCAACAGAGAAAAATGCACATTTTCCTTCACTATGGATACTTACACACACACACACACACACACAACACACAACACACAACACACACACACGAACTGCTGTTTTATATCTTAAAGGTTTTGTGAATGAGCCTCTAGCGCCCCTCGTGGCAATTTTTCTAAGTGTTATGAGGTCAGTGTGCCTTTCCAAAGGGAAAGCTAGACAAAGTCGCCCTCTCACAGCAGAGGGCGCTAGACTGCAAAAACAAAACCTACAACACTATAATACTGTACAGCTAGTACGGCAAGCAGCACAGACTGACCTTAACTAATAACACTGCTGTTTTTAAACACATTACTCTCACAGTGTCTGATCACATCACAAGCACGGATCTAACAGGGCTGTCTTTAAATCCCTTTACGGATTAAGAAAATTCTGCATGTTGGCTTGTCTTCAGGTTATACAAGTTAGCCATTAAGTGCAGACTCATGAACGATTTTTTTTGTCTGCCAGTAAATAGAAATCTGTAATATTATGAGCCTAGATGGAGAGAAATCACCTAATGAAGGCTGTAATGCAAGTTATAAACAGCGAGTGTACCTCACTGCTTTTCTTGAGGTACAATTAAATTGTCTAATTGATAAATGTTAAGGGAGTAAAAGTAAGTGTTGTGGAATCACAGTAGGATTTTATTTTACAGTAACATGTCCCAACTGTGGGTCTGGAGTGAATCAGTGAATAAGTTCAGGGTGAAGTGACTCATCTGATATTTACCCAGAGCACCTCCACCTCTGCATTCAGTTTGTCCAACTTCATAAAGTCCTCTTTGTTAGTGATCCGACCTCCAGATTTCAGCCTCCAGCCATTCAGCTTCCAGGCGTGCACCCAGCTGGTCACACCTGCAGCAAACACACCACAGACTTCAAACCCAACTCTTCAAGGTCTACTATGGTGAAATTCAAAAACCTGGACCTGTCACATGTTGGACATGAATATGACTTTGATCAGTTGCACCTCTCAGGTTTCATGTTCAGAAAGCCAGACTTTGATGTTTTCTTTTAAAACTCACCGTTGATCGTAAACTTGCTGTCTGTGTAGAGAACCAACTTCTTTATGTTGTTCTCTTTGGCTTGTTCCAGCGCTTTGCATGCTGCCTGGTTCAAACACACAAACACATACAACCCGTAAAGCTGTTAACACACTGTTGTATCTGTGTTTTTGCACATGCTGTAGGATTTAAACATATTTTTAAAAAGACCTGTAAGACCTTATTGAGATGACATTTTGTAGACAGAGTGACTATCATATGTTAAAAAGAACATATACACACACACTGTACAGTTACATACCGCTGTAGGGCATTTGACTTTGGAAATGTTTTATTTGTTTTTAAGTAATGTAATACATCTTATTTAGTTCAGAGCTTCATACATACAATTAAATTTTTTTACATCTCATTAAAAATTTTCATTTAAAATTCAAAGTTTAGGACAGTGACGTGATTTTTAAAGTCGAATGTTTGCAAAGATTTGATCTGAAACATTTCAAGACTGTAAAGATCTGCAGACACACTGGTCTGAGGTGTTTATGTTAACTGATGAGTGTTAAGTTGATGTTTTATTCCATCTTAAAAATTAACTAAAATCTCATCCAATTTAACTTCACCAAGCACTAAAGGTTTTCTAGTATTTCTGTCACCATGGAGGTGCTTTTAACTGTGCTTAAGTTCTGGTGTTACGGATGTGATTAAGGACTCAGTTTGATTAAGAGATTGTTCTTTTGTCATGTAAAATATTTCCTGTTTATTGCAGAAGTTAACACTGTGGTTGGAATCTGGCTTTTTTTTTTTTTTTTTTTAAAGACTGAAGCACTTGTGATGAGAGGTACCTGTAATTCTGCACGCTGGTTAGTTTGTCTTCCCTCCAGCCGCTCTGCAACATTTCTGCAAGACAGCAGCAATAAATGTGACAAATTGCGATGAACTGATTTATTATGGAGATGACTTGTGTTGTCTGTTCTCCGTGTGCGCGTTTTCTCACAGTGGGTGGTTGGGGCCCCAGTACACTCCGATGCCGGCTCGGGCGCCATGCTTGCCGTTGCCCGTGCAGCCGCCATCGGTGTAAACGACAACAGCATCACCTGTACAGAGGGTTAAACAACTCTGAGTGACTCTAAAGTGACACTCAGGAGACCGCTAGAGTTCAACATCCTATTTAATTTCCACACACGTTTGACCATCTTACCCATGTATGTGAAACCATCTGCGCTTTCTGAAGGCACACTTTCTGACTGTTTGACTCGTTTAGGTTGGGACTCCGCCTCCTTGTCGGAGTGACATCTCTTCTTACCAAGAGGGATGTATTCTAGAGGTTCAGGGCCTCTTTTGGGAAGCAAATTGACGTCTGACTCCACAGCCTGAGCCACTGAAAGCCAAAAACACAAAGTTAACAGTCATTTAAATTTTGAAAAATGTCATTGTGCAGATTATATTGAGTTCAGTGTCTTCCCTAAAGACAATAAAGCTGAACAACTTCCTGCTGGGATCAAAACTACAACTTTTTTTTGTGTTCTCGGATCAGAATCTACTCAAAGACTGATAAGTTACAACCTCTTAAAACAACATGTTTTTGTGAGTTTGTACAGGAGAAAAGCTTCATGTCGGTCTGAACCAGCATACCTGTCTTCGCCTCTGGAGGTGTAGAAAGGTCCACTCCTCTAATGAACGCCCAGGCATCTTTCTCTGATTCAAACTTCTTGTAAGAAGCTGATGGAAATTTGTTCACCTGGTTCTTACATTCAACCCTTAATCGCAGTGAAAAACAGATGATCAACAATGTGTTCAAGAAATCTGAAAAAGAACATTTCATGTATTTATTCTACACTTGGTGCAGATGTTGTGGCGTACTCACAGTGATGTCTTGAAATTACAGTTTATTCAGCATTTATTATTTATTTTTATTATTATTTTCAAATGTTTAAAACCCCACTTACTCTGCATCAGTTTGGTGCAGGTTTTACACATCATACGGGTCACTTTCAAAATGGCACAGCGTCAAATGGGTGTACATTTTGATGGGAGAATATCATTCAAACAAACGGTTTCTGATGTATTAATCATAAGCCGAATTGAACAGTGGATTATTGAGATTACAAAACACCTCAAATATCCCTTCTAGCTGGCGTGTCATTTTGCCAAAAGACAAAGGAAACATTAAACCGCAACATATCTGAATGGAATTTGGCGCACGGCGTACCAATATCCACCAGAACTTCACTCTGGGACCAGTGGCTTTTGATTTATGCCCACACGGAGATGTAAACAGTCTCACCATGAGCTGTAGACTCCTGGTTTGACTCCTTTCTTCACAGCGTAGAAGAACTTGCCCTTCGCCATGTCCTCGGCGGCGGTGCATGCGGTCCTGAGCCCTACTCTGAAGACACCAGTCAGTCTAAACATCACCGCCAACCGAGGCGGATAACATCGCAATGACAACTCCGACACAGTCAAATGTCATTAAACCCCGACTGCTTAATGTGTATCTCGTAATAACACATAAAGTTAAAAAAAAAAAAAAAAACAACCTCTCGTGTAGTCTTCTATGTTTTGGATTTAAAACAATATATATTTCACTGACAGGTAATGTTGACGATCGCGGCTTCCGTTCGCGTTGTACTCTCGCGATGTTTTATGAATCACAGCGTGGACTCTCACTCTACTTCTCGCGATATCTACAGCCCAGCACTGGATTAATACAACTCTCGCGATGCTCCGGCCTCTTCCTTGGCCGTCGTTGACAGAGGTTAGTCGTGCTACTCTTCACTGGACTCCCTTTTCTACTCCAAAATGTGCCTTAACGTCGTTTTATGTCGGCGTTTCCTCGCCGTGAAGCATCTTAAGTGTCTGATACGTTAGATTATGTGGCTTGTGGCGGCGGATGGCTGTTTTATATCACAAAATGAGGCGTAGTAGAGAAGGCTCCGGTGAATGGGTTCTTGTAACAGGGAGGGAGTTAGCAGGCCGTGCATGTGTTCAGATAGCAGCTACAGGAGCAACCGGGGAGGAAGAAGAGGGAGGGGGGGTATATGAAGCTTTGTGTTGAGTCGTTTTTATGTAGAATAAAAGTTTTTACAGTTTAACTTGTAGATTTTATAAAGCTAACTGGAGCGGCGACTAATGGCAGCAGGCTAAGTTATATTAGCTCGTTGCCTCTAACTGAGTTAAATAGCCTACAGATTGTCTTTAAGGGGGTGAAACTATATTTATTTTGTGTTTGGTTAATCATTTTTGCCCCAAACTCTTCCTCACAACTCTCTCTGTGTGAGTTAGTGAACTGGTTTGCGCGGTACATGCTGGTTTACTGAAGCTCCTCCAGGATCCATTTTCAAGCCAGTGTGTTTTAGAGATGTCAGCCTGGTTGTAAATGTAACCCCACATGTCTTTTTTTATTTCTCTTCGCAGAGACAAAGGCCATGTTCAGTACCAGCGCCAAAATAGTGAAGCCTAATGGCGAAAAGCCAGATGAGTTTGAGTCTGGGATCTCCCAGGTAAGAAAAACCCAAGTTTAAGATCCTCAGATCGTGTTTTTTATTGTAGTTTTTACTGAAGCTGCATGTAGTGTGTGTGTGTGGAGAGTTGACTGCAGAGATTGGGAGAACAAATGCTGTAAAACTATACTATAACTATTAATTCTTTATGCCACACTTTCTGAATGTGGTCAGTCTTAATTAAATGTCATTTTCAAGAGCTTTCAAAGTGGAAGTAGATTTTAAGTTTTAAGTTAAAATGCTGAAGGGAAACTATCTGTAATTTGTGACAATAACAAACAAAATCCACTGATCCCGTCAGTGTCCTAATCTAGGAATCAAGTTCTGCTCTGTTGTATGCAAACTAATCCATTTCTTTACGGTTTCTGTGTTAACTGTGTGTAGCCAGATAATGCAGGTGCAATGCTTAAGACACAGTGGATGTAAATGTGTCTTGTGTCCCCGACAGGCTCTGCTCGAGCTGGAGATGAACTCTGACCTGAAGGCTCAGCTGAGAGAGCTGAACATCACTGCAGCAAAGGTAGGAGGCTAATGACTGAAGCGTTTCCACTCATTTATATTTATTTAATCACGATCGAACCAGCTCGACTGTCTTGATCTGATCCGACATGGATATCCAGCGAGGTTGCTCTCCTGGCTCTGTCCTCGTGGCGTATGGGAGCGTAGCTCTTGGGCTGAGACGTATAGTCCCGTTCCACAATGTCGGAGAGAAAGCTCTGTCCCCGGCTGTAAGTCGGTGAGGACGGGCGTCCTGCATATTCCTACATCTTCCCAGAGTCCCTTGGGGCCGTTACTGGGGAGCTAAACCATGCAGTGCACATTTGATATCGTTGTATTATATCATTTTATATGTAGTAGTCTTAAGTAAAGTGAAAGGAACATTTTGTCACATTCACAGTAACTGTTAGATCCTGAAATCTACCTAATGTTCCTCACATTTAGGAGTCTTAAACAATGATGGCTTCTCATATAGAAGACTAACTTAAGTAAATGTTCACAGGCATTTGCTTTGTTTAATAAGTAAAGATGTGCCATATTTTATTTTCATTTGCTGTATTCAGTCTGTTTTCTTTGGTTTTTTTCTCTCTCAGGAAATCGAAGTTGGTGGCAGCAGGAAAGCCATCATCATCTTTGTTCCCGTTCCTCAGCTGAAATCCTTCCAGAAGATTCAAGTGCGTCTGGTGAGGGAGCTGGAAAAGAAGTTCAGCGGAAAGCACGTGGTCTTCATTGCACAGGTGAGGATAATGACGTCTGCCTCAGCACCTCAGCCTTGGATGGATACTGCAGGGTTGTGGTGAGGGCTTTCCCAGTGCGTATGTGTTTATAAGGACTACTTGAAAGCTGTGAGTGCTGTGGGGGCTTCAGGAGGGAACTTGGAAGTCTTGGATTGGGGTGCCATTGATCCCTGTACTCAGAGTGGAGCTCTTTCTCCAGTGTTTACTACGGGTCCACAACTTATCTGGATAGTATAGATTTGTTTTTATACGACTTACATCAAGCAGAAACCAGAATTACTTCTGGGTTTGTGACTGATGTGGTGGGTTCATGCTGTCTGTCAAGGGCAGGGTGAACTGTTCTTTCAAGAATCCATTAAGCATCTTCAAATCTTGTAATTTTTAAACGTTAAGTCTGAGACATTTGTCCTACTTGTGCTCTGAAACGATGTATTTAAGATCATTATAGTTAATTCAGTTGTCACTAAGTTCACCAGATACAAAAGTCAAATTTATTATTTTAATCACTTCTTTATAGATAGTTATCTGGCACAAAGCCCATTTCTATCAGAACCTGCTACAAGAAAGCTGAAAGGGGGAACGATGTGAAATTAGTGTTTTGTGTTCTGACTGTTTTTGATCCGACATGGATATCCAGCGAGGTTGCTCTCCTGGCTCTGTCCTCGTGGCGTATGGGAGCGTAGCTCTTGAGCTGAGACGTATAGTCCCGTTCCACAATGTCGGAGAGAAAGCTCTGTCCCCGGCTGTAAGTCGGTGAGGACGAGCGTCCTGCATATTCCTACATCTTCCCAGAGTCCCTTGGGGCCGTTACTGGGGAGCTAAACCATGCAGTGCACATTTGATATCAGGGTTCGACTGATATGAGTGTTTAATTTCAGATATTGTTTGTTGTTAAAATTCCTAAGTTTGAAAATAAAATCGAAAGATTCACTTTAATGTGTCTCTATAATTGTATTAATGTTTAAAATGGAAGTGTCTCAAACGTTTGGGACAAAATGTTCTGTTGAAATATTTAGTTTGTAATGCAGGAAGTTTTTGACACTGAAGCTTCAAGTAAACAAGGAGGAACATTAATATCTGCAGGTTATATCCTGTATAGACCCACAATATCAGTCTGATCCTGGTTCATTTGGTTAATAATTTATTTGTCTTGAATTATTTGAGTTTGAAACTGTTTGCATGTTTGAGAGTCCTGACCGGAGATTAATCAGACAGTGTTGATTTTCAGAGGAGAATTCTGCCCAAACCCACCAGGAAAAGCCGCACAAAGAATAAGCAGAAGCGTCCCAGGAGGTGAGTGGAGATTCTGTTTGTCACACAGACTGAGATTTATTCTTGTCTTGATTTTGTTCTTTCTATATTCCTTTTCTGGTTTACTGCTGTAGAATAATAAAATGATTTTTAAAAAATGTGGTTGCATAATGATATAGTAATGTGTGTGTGTGTGTGTATATAGATATATATCTAGTTGTAGTATCAGACAATTGTAGCTAATAAGCAAAATAGCAAAGTCTGAAAATCAAATTTGAGTAATGTAGCATGAGTATTAAGAAATAGATGTCATCTTAAACAAACTGAAACAGATAATCAATAAATAGACAATGAATCAGTCAATTGTATGAAACGTTTTTGATCCGACATGGATATCCAGCGAGGTTGCTCTCCTGGCTCTGTCCTCGTGGCGTATGGGAGCGTAGCTCTTGGGCTGAGACGTATAGTCCCGTTCCACAATGTCGGAGATAAAGCTCTGTCCCCGGCTGTAAGTCGGTGAGGACGGGCGTCCTGCATATTCCTACATCTTCCCAGAGTCCCTTGGGGCCATTACTGGGGAGCTAAACCATGCAGTGCACAACTTCTGTTTCTACTAGATTTATTATGAGTTGGAAACAGCAATGCACATACAATGTTTTTATATTTTTACTAGCAAAAATACAAAAATTATTTTAACATTGTGCTGTAATTAGCCACTAATGATTTGCTATTATGTGCATTTTCTGTCTAAAATTCAATTTACCATAGAGCAGCAGATCACATTTTAGTGGATGAAACCAATAAATATTTTGCTTTTTTTGTTTGGAAACTCAAATATTAAGAATATTCTCATGTTTTTTGTTAAGTAATTGTTTCAGTTCTAGTTGTTAACCCCTGAACTTAAAGTGCGGCCTGCATGAATTGTGTATTAATGTGATTTCTTGTTGATTCCTCCTCCAGCCGTACTCTAACCGCGGTCCATGACGCCATCTTGGAGGACCTGGTGTTCCCCAGCGAGATCGTTGGTAAGAGGATCAGAGTGAAAATGGACAGCAGCAGGCTCATCAAGGTTCATCTGGACAAGGCCCAGCAGAATAACGTGGAACACAAAGTAAGTTGATAAAACAGGTGGAATAGATGGGTCTGGATGTTCATGTGGCATGTTTAGAGCTGCAGTGATTATTTTCTTTCATTATAAACCTGTCTTTAATGTAAGTTTAAATCTGATCCGACATGGATATCCAGCGAGGTTGCTCTCCTGGCTCTGTCCTCGTGGCGTATGGGAGCGTAGCTCTTGGGCTGAGACGTATAGTCCCGTTCCACAATGTCGGAGAGAAAGCTCTGTCCCCGGCTGTAAGTCGGTGAGGACGGGCGTCCTGCATATTCCTACATCTTCCCAGAGTCCCTTGGGGCCGTTACTGGGGAGCTAAACCATGCAGTGCACAAAGTGTAACTGGAGTTCAGCTGATTGTTGCACCACTAACACTTAAAGTTATCTACACCGTTTGGTCACTTTATTAATTACACTGTACAGTCTGAAATTTAACTGTTCTGCCTTTTTAATGTTAAGTCAACTGTTTTAACATTGAGTTCATATTGGTAGTGGTACTGTACTTCATTATATTAAAGGAGGGGTTCATTTTTTTTGCCCCTCCCCATATACATGTTGGGATAAAATATTATTAATCCTTCTAAACATTGTACTTGTAATTATTGTAATTGGATTTATACATTTCTGACAGTTTCATTAGATTGTCCAGGTGTACCTATTAAAGTGACCACTTGGTGTAGTTTTGTCACACTGTATTAGTGCCTAAATTAATTAGTCCAATAAAGAAGTAATCAATTATTTTAGTATTACAAAGCAAGTGCTGTTGGTTAGTCCTGGCAAAGAGGCACATATGTGAAACCATTCAATAATCAGATTTGAGAAGTCAGCATTTCTTCTGAGGTTGTCAGTCAGTTGAGCCTGTTTGTTTGTGGGTTGTGTGAAAAACCGATGTGATATTGCCACTAACTGGTTTCCTGTTGTGTTTCAGGTGGAGACATTCTCTGGTGTCTACAAGAAGCTCACAGGCAAAGACGTTGTGTTTGAATTCCCAGAATTCCAGCTGTAAATGCAGATGACAAAATAAATTTGTTTACTGTCAACATTGTTGGTGGTTGTGTGTTTTCTCTTTATCTGTACAGAAAATCCTGAGATTGTTCCTGAACATCAACAGCTTTATTTCCTCTAGTCAAAGCTGCTTGATTGAGCTGCAGGATCTCAGGATTCTACTTTTATTTTGGTGCCACCTTCAGGCCAAAACTTTAACAATTGTTTTCTGGTGTGCAATAATTGTTGCCTCACAGTCTTGAGGACAATTATTTGTACATATAACTTACAAATAACACCAGTGCTCATAGGAATGTGGTGTGAAGCAACAAAAACCGACTTCCAAACTGTTAAAGTGAGGTAAACAATTTACTGCAGTTTAAAAACATCTTTATACATAAAAATATAGAATAACATTAACCTGAGAAACAATACAGTGCTGTTATTTTGTTTTTGTAAAGTGTTAATTTTTTGTTTTGTATTGTTAAATGTGTGGAGGGGCCAGAAGCAACTTGTTCACTCCTCAGACCGACCAGTGGCAATTGGCCCGTCAACCCTGGCGGTGTTGGTGCCTTTTTATTAATGTCCCGTCATGTGATACTGAAGCATTAAAGTTTCTCCCAGTTTGAGTCCTCTCCAAACATCTGTTCGTCTCTGATTTGAGCTTCCATCCACATTGAATGAACAGTTTTTCTCCAGAGTAGACACGTTGTAGTGTGGAAGAGGAAACCTACTCACAAGTGAGTGACGTATACTCAAACAAGGTTGGGTGCTGTTCAGATAATAGGAAATTAAGGTTAAAACTGGATGAAATTTAATTGTATGTTTGATAGTAAACTTAAATTTAACAGCATTTCACTGACTACCATAGACGCCCAATTCAGCTCACACAACTTGAATATAAAAAGGATGACTGGTGTCCTACAGCTGGAATCTGTCAGCTGGTTAAAAGTTCATGAGCTGCAGTCAGTTTATTATTGTTCAAATGTCTGACAATAAAAAGAAACGTCAATTTAAAGGAGCTTAATGTGTGTTTGGATCTTTTAAAACACTGAGCACGGAGTAAATGAGGCTGCAGACTGGATGTTTAACCCCTCAACCATCTGGCAGTGGCGGATGAAGTACTCAGATCTTTTACTCAGGGGTGTAGTGGTAAATACGGAGGTAGGTTAACTGTAGTTTACCCACCTTGTTTCCCCTCATTGATACAGTTGATAGGAAAATAGATGAATAAACTCTTATTTCAAAGAGGTGGATAAAAAGGCTTTACTTGGGTTTGCCCCCCCCACAACGCCCCTGATAAGTAAAAGTAGAAATACTGCAGTGTAAAAATACTGTATATGTATAAATGCTACAAGTAAAAGTTCATGAAATATACTTCAAGTACCTAACGCCTGTACTAATGGGGGTCCTAAACCTGTGGGTTGGGACCTCCATTAGGGGTCGGCAAAGCTTCACGAGGGGTCACGAGGCGTACTTGATCTTAAGAAAGTAAGAAAACTTTAAAAATATACATAGTAAGCCTATATATCAGCAGTTCACTCATTTCTGTGAAGAAATGAAATTGTTTGCTTAGACAGTATGTATGACTGAAGACCTTTAAAAATACATAATGCAGACAAAACTGTAGAAAGAGTTCCTAAAAATATCAGGAAAACTTAAAGTAAAAAAATAATGAATATGCTCAAAATTCCTCCAGATCGTCTCGCAGTTAATATATTATTATATTATATTACTGTCATTGTGCAGTTTATCAGCTATAGAATATAAAATATATATAAAATATGTAACTGATAAAAAAGGGGTCCCTTCAGGAAAAATGTTGGGAACCATTACCCTAACTTACATCATAAATCATATATTTTTGTATCAATTAAATTAGTATTAATAATCGTAAATCTGCAAAGTAATTAAAGCTGTCAAATAAATGTAGCTCAGTAAATGTTACAAGTTTAAATACAGTACTTCGATTTACTTTCCACCACTGCCACCTGGGTGAACCATTAAAGCATTAAACAGTCGCCTACAACATGCTTAGCACCGTTGTTTGGTCCCAGTTCACCCAGTGAGATCCAGCACAGTGAGATCCAGCACAGTGGCCTGCTCTCTGTCCCACTTCTTAACACATAACGGCTGAAAGACTTTTGCCATCCCGGTGTTTAAGTGCGGAAGGAAAATCTGAAACGTGATGTTAATGTGGTCCCAGTCTCAGCTCAGTTCTCGGGAACTCTCAGCTCTGCAGCGCCTCCTGCTGCCTGGCTGCGTTGGCTGATCTCCTGCAGCAAGATGGAGTTTGAGAGTCTCCATTCCCTGTATGTGGGAGCTGTGAGGGCCGGGTCGGTCAGGATCTGCTCCATCGCCTGCAGCTCCAACTCTTTGGCCTGCAGGACGCACAGAGCAGCAGGTGTTTGTACGGACATACAATCCTAACGACTTTACATTTGTCCAAATATGAAGGTTTTCTGTGTTAACAATGACCGGAAGAGAAAGTCCTCGGATATCCGTTACCTGGATCCGCTGACTGTATGTAGTGAAATGTACTGAAACCTTTGCTACTATAAAACAGGCTTTACAGTAAGTTTCGACATTTTGGGGAAATAAGTACGTCTGCTGTCTTTCAGGGTGAGTTTGTCCGTCAAACTAGAGGCAGACGGCGATTAGCTTAGCATTTTTTTTTGTTAATCTGTACACAATCTCAACAACTAGCAGAGCTTTTTATCTCCTTGCCTAAAGCATCTCTCAGTATTCATCAGGGGTTGTTCTCACCTTTAATGTGCTTCTGAGGATCCTGAGCAGGTGAAGCTTTTCGTTGACTTTGTCGTTCTGACATCGTTTGATGAAGGACGCTCTGAAGTCCCTCTTACTGGACTGTCCAATCGGAGACAAGCTGGCTGCCCTCAGGTGCCTGTAGAGGCTCTCCATCTCATCAGGTGGCTTCTCTGGAGAAAGAAAGGAGATCTTAACTTTAAAAAAAAGAGTCCTTACTGCAGCGGCTCGGGTTCGATTCCTCTCTCTCCCCACTTTCCTGTCCCTCTTCACTTTGGATTAAAGGCAGTAAAAGCCCAAACAATTATCTTTAAACAAATTAATTTAAAAGGATCAGTATTAATGCAGCAGAACCAAAGATGTCGTCTTATTCATTGCAGACATTCTTTCCAAAACATGGCGCCTACATTTCCCACAATGCAACTCAACAGTCTTGTTTAAAACAGCTCAAATTACATCAACAATCATAAACTCATTCATGATATCCTAATCAGTCTTCAGCATTTTTGCCTTCAAGTCTCACAGAATACAGACGTATCTCGTTTCAGCTTGTTCATATTAATTATTAACTCATTTTCCAGGATAAACGGGACGGGATTCGGGATTTGGGATTCAGTGCAGCTGCTCATAATTCGGGACTGTCCTGAATTTTTCAGACCCTACTGATGCTGACTCGTGTGACATGACTCAAGGACATTTATCAGACTTCACACAGCTCCCCCTGGAGACAATAAAGACTTTATACAACTTTTAATAAACTGCCCAACATTGGAAATAACTACATTTCCCCTTTAGAGCAGCAGTTGTTATGGTAACCAGATGTGGTAGCCAGGTGTTTACCATGGACGGCCTCCTCTTCTTTTTCCTCACTAACATGGAGCAGAGGCAGGGACACTGTTTTACCAGCTCCCTCTGGTCTGGGGAGGTCCAACCAGGACAGACGCTCACTGCCTCCTGAGGCTCTTCTTCTTTCTCTACTTAAAGTTGCACCATCGGAGGTACTTCTACTTCTGCTTTCACTGTTCAGTGTAGTGGGCGGGGTTGAGGCGCAGGGTGAAGACTCACAGAGAGGCCGAAGAGTGTCCCCCTGCGAGGAGTACAGTGTGTTTACAGACTGCGCGGAGGGTTTTGAATACTGTAAATGTTGTTAGTTGCCCTTCATACTTCCATACTCACATTTTCAGATTGTTCTGCTTCCCGTTCGGGGTCCAAAGAACTGGAATTCAACTCATCTGTGTCCTGATCGCTGTCCTCGCTGTAGCAGTCTGCACACAGGAAGAAGAGACAAGTGAAGGGAGGAACAATGGAAGGAGAGAATGGAGGACATCAAGGCGGGAAGGATCAGGAAGAGGGGAAAGAAATAAAAAATAAGTGAAGTATGGAAGGAAGAAGGAAAGAAAGATAGGAAGAAAGGGAAGATAAGAAGATGAAAACAAGGAACTACGGGACAAAAAATGGAAGAAAGACTGGAGAAAGGGTAGAAAAGGTAGAAAGAAGAAAGGGGGGGAAAGGGAAAAGGGCCTACAGGAAAGAGGATGGGAATGATGGAGAAATGGGAAGAACATATTTTTGTTTTTACAAATGTGCATCCAGGTTTATTCCTGGTGTTTACTGCGTATATAAACTGCTCATATTTCTTAATCTAACCTTCAGTGTTGATCAGTTCGCATGGCTTGGCTGCTTCGGACAGTTTACTGATCCACCTGCAAGCGGACACAGCGCCTTTAATGTTGCAGCAGCATTCAACGTGATGTACAGTAATGACTCATCTTTTTTACTTTACAGGGCAAAACAAGAAGTGGCTGAAAAAGACTGAACGGCAATAGCAAGAGGAGGAAGAGAAACAGAATCTATTTTTGTGCAGCAATTATTAGTTCAGAGAAAGATATAAACAACTATCGGATTGATTGTCATTTCTCTAACGCCATGGACAACCAAACAGATCTTACTGTTGCACAAGAAGACTGAATCTGAAATCTGAAAAAGCTCACCTACATCTAGTATGGCTTACACCATTTATACATGATGCAAGATGGGAACAAAAATGATTATTATGTCTTCATTTGAATCATACGATTACTATTTTCTATCGAGACTCCTCTGTGCAGATCCTGCCAGTATTACCCGGAATAAGATAAAATCAAACACTCACTTATTCATGTCTGTGAAGCTCTCTGCAGCGACGAAAATGGTCACAACCAACGGATGACTGGCCGTTATGGCACTGAAACACAACACTGTGCGGTTAATAACACAAAGATAAACAAGATAAATAATCACTTATACACTGGACAGATAAGAGAACCAAAAAAATGAAGCTTTTTTTTGCAGCACATCTCTCACCTCCCAAATGTAACTGAGGTGAGACACCATAACGGAGTATTTTGGTTACGTGCAGTGAGTTGATGCAGCTTTATACAAACAGAGTGTGAAAGAGGTTTCAGCAGCAGATTGTTCGACCACAGACAGCTGAATAAGACTGTCGGTGGTTTTTGTTTCTTTCTTTCCACCCCGACAGGCCTTCACTACATGTCGCAACAAAGGGAAACAAACAAACATGTCGTACTGTTTCTTCTTGTGCTGTTTGGCCTGTTCGATGGTGAAGCCGGACAGGTTGATGAATCCTTCTGCTTTCACTGCCTGCAGAGAGAACAGAAATAAACACCTCAGAAGCAGCATTTGTGTCTGTATTTCATTCGTACATTAGTCGAACATTAATCTCAAGTTTCTGTGGGGCCTGTGCATGAAGTAAGTGGTCGTACCCACAGGATGTGTTAGGTTGTGCTTTCCTCAACACAACGGGCTGCTTTTCTTCAATGTGACCAAATCTCTGTCATCATCTGCATTATTTTACCCCATAAAAATCAGTTTTTTGACCTGAAAGAAAGCTCTTTACCATCAGTTCCAACATATAACATCCCATACTTACAAGAAACCATAACCACAGTTAGACAGTGACAAAAATAATTAATCATAATAATTGCAAAAGGGAAGTTCATTCGTGCCATATTACCTGTACTGTTTAAAGTATATAGACATTACACCCATATGTAACAGCCTGTACTCATCATCGTCTTCCAACCTGCTGCAGGGATTTACTCCCAATCAGACAAAACAGCATTAGTGAGGTCCAGCACTGATGTTCATCCCAAAAGTGTTGGATGGGGTTGAGGAGGTATTGTCATGTTTCAGCAGGAAGGGGTCAAACTGCTGCCACAGAGTTGGAAGGACACTATTATAACTAACTATATTTGTGGGCGGCAGCATCAAATCAAAGACCCAAACGATGAAAGCTAAGATCTGAGGAGGTTTGTGGGCCGCTATGGAAGTTTTTTTTTTCTAAAATGCAGGTGTAATTTGCAGTTACATTTGTTATTAAATGCTGTTGAAGCATTATGCAAGTACTCCTCACTGCTTCATCAACTGTTTAATGTGATGAAATTCAATTATTCAGACAGAATAAACTGAATTGACACAACAGGTTACAACAGGAAATACTAATGATCGTTTCAGTTTCAGTCTGAATTATATCTTAGTGAATGTAGGTGAAAGCAGACATCATAAGTCACTATAAATACCTCAGCCATGTATTTTCTGTCAGCGTTGAGTTTCTATACTATTTTTACTACTACTTAAAGCAGCAACAAGGAACTTAACTCTTAATTTTTTTGTTGATTAGGATCTAGAGGGGTGGCAGTGGGTGGTAGCTGCCCCCAGTTTGGTTTCAAATGCTGTCAAATTTAACATATTGATACGCATATTGAACATTAATATTAATTTAATCTACTGACCTCTTAGGAGCACATTTTAGGCTTGAGTTTAATGAAAACAGACTTTTGAAAAGATTTGGAAACCATTTCTAATGCCACCTTTAGATATTTCTATTCAATGCTTTACTAATGTGACACAATAATCCAGATCCAGGCAGACATTAGGGATATATAGAAGAACCCAGTCTTCTGATGGTCTTACAGAGGCATCAGTATTACATTTTGGTTGTTTCCTAATCAGTCAAAACTCACTGTAGAACGTTTAAATCAGATAAATATTTAGAGAAAAGCTGCCAGGAGCTGAACCCAGGTTGTTTAGGCTGAATGGTTAACATGTTATGAGCACTGATGCTGCCATTTCAAACAGTCTTGCTCTGACTCACCATCTTGTCGGTGTACCAGTACAGACAGCTCTTCTTCAGGACAAACCAGTATCTCTTCCATTTGCTTCCCAGGAAGCTGCGGCCCTCCCTCCTGCGGAGGAGCCACCCCTGACAGTCCACCACGCCCAGTTCTTTGATCGAAACCCGCCGCCGACTCATGGCTGCAGCCAGTGGGGGAGAGAAAAGAGAGCAGGTGTAATTGAAATGTCACAGGTTCAGGCTGCACTGCAACAGCTGGTGTGTCATCTGCCTGCAGCAGTGGTTATGTTGAAGACATAGGTGCCAGCGGGGGGAAACACACATCAACAAGGAAACAGTCTTCAACACAACAGAGGCAACTAAGGTACAATGCCAGAAACAGAAGATGGTCCTTATTACTCCAGAACTTGCCTGAGAATTGATGTGTTTTTAGGTTTTCTTCGGTATCAGGTAATGCAGTGACTCTTGTCTGTGCCTCCGTGGGTGAACTGCAACCAGGGACTGCTAACAGCTAATTCAGCATACTTTTAATGGTGCCATTTTGCCAAAATGTAAAGAAATATAGGCTAAAAAATACAAAGTTACAAAGAGGATACGCTGCATTGACCAGCTATATGACTCGTGGTTGATTAAATGTATTTTTATTGTTTTAACATTTATACTTGACATTGTTTTTATGTTTTGTGTATCTGTTTTGTCAGAAGGTTTAAAAACAGTGGGCTTGTCCTGAGTTTGCTTAGAGTCAATCAATATCCACTATAAAAAGGTAGTGTGTGTCTAAAACACCCCAAGCCCTCCACTGAATGCATGTGGCCTTAAAGCTTATATAGAGAATATTCACTTGCCACTAGAAACCATTACAACCAACCACAGTCCATTGACAAAAACGTCATTTTTACCTTGCAGATAATTGTGAAACAAACTAAAACTCATCAACCACTGTCTTTGTCTTTCCAACAATCACCAACTCTGGTTTGATTCACAGAGTTAGATCCCTAAAAATACCTTTTGTTTAACCAGAAAGCACCATAATATTGCTAACGCTCCCCAACAGACTTCATAGATAAAACAGTAATTCTATCTGGTATATCATTGGAACATCATAACTCATACAAAACTCATAAAACTCAGTCTTTGTCTTTCCACTGTTCCAACAATGACCAGCTTTGGTTTGGTCAATATAACACAGAGGGACTGCACCAACATGCACAGCCAGACTGGCTTCGTAAACTAAGCACAGAGCAGCAGGGATGTTACGTCTCTGCTCAGGACGCCATTACTCCACTGTATCTTTACACAGTAAATAGATGTTTAGTGCTATCATATGTTGTATATATATATATATATATATATATATATATATATATATATATATATATATGACCTTTAAACAACACTACTTATGTTGTAGGAACCTGCCACTGCTGATTTGCCTAAACCTTCTTCCCTTGTAACAATGTTTTATTTGTTTTTTCATGATTGATTTATCTATTGTCCTTTAACTTGGGTTCTTGTTTTAACTTCCTGTTTACCTGGGGTTTTATTTTTATAACAAATGCGAGGTTTGAGCGGTGATGTTTGTGCCATATTGTAAATAGGGTGCGGGCCACATGGCCTAGAAAGTTTTAGAATAGAAAAATATGTTTTATAACAGAGAAATTTCAGCAAAATGAATGACCACAAAGCAAACTCCATCTGCTGGTGAAGCTCATGATATGATCAAAAGCTCAAGAACAGCTACAAAATAGTACATTTTATGTGATTTCTTTAGGGTTTTAGATTTTTGTATGTTCTTTGCGCTGTAAAAATACTTTTATTTAGAATGTTACTTATGATTTTTTTTAAAATGTTATAATAATTAGTTATAACAGAAAAGTTATAATATAAAAATAATTGTAAATTATTCTACATAGTCCAAAATCTAATCTTATATAATTCCCGTTCACTCAAATTACAAAAAAAAACATCTTCTCTAATGTCATCCATGCTTATAGTTTGGGTTTATTTTGTGCATGTTTTAAACCTCAATAAAATGGAGATAAATTTAAAAAAGGTCTTACCTGCTGCAGTCTGGACGTCCAGCAGTTTGGTGTCTTTGCAGCAGACTGACGCTCAGCAGAGGAGGAACTAGAGTCTCTCGGCGCTGTCGATCAGACTTTATACTTCGACCCACATCCAGACCACAAAGTCAAAATCTCACTCACACATACATGCATACCCCACACTATACTTCCTGTTTCACATGTTCTTTATGGCCCGTCTGTTCTTCTCTGTTTTTCTCAGTCTTTCTGCTCACAATCTTTCTGCTTAGAAACTTCCTCATTGTTTTTTGGAAAGTAAAACATTTCTGCATCTGACATTTAAACAACCTCTTTACTCAGCAGTTTTAAAAAATAATCAATGTATTATAAAACAACAGTCAGACATCTCTTTTTAAATTACATGACAGCTAGGAATTTTCAAAAAAAATTAATTTACTGTCATCTACTGTTACGACCAGCTGAGGAGTAACTGGAGCATTGCACAAAAATTACTCTAATTCAACACTCTCTAATAAACACACACGGTCTGGTTGGGAGTGAGGCCGGCATCAGCAGGTGTCATTTCAAAGTAAGCGCCGTCGGCCTCCCGTCCAATCAGCTTCCCCCCTGCAGCACAGGTTGACAGCACCACCTCCAGGTAGGGAGAGAAAACAGCACAACAATCACATAATCCTAGAAATACAAACACACATATGACTTACAACACTACCGTGCCTTCAAGGTGTCTCTGCATGCACATTTGATTGGTCTCAATATTCTGTGTCACAATTTTGGAGCCACAGCAAAAAGCAATCACTTGGGTGTTTTGATTTATTGCCTCATTTTGCACCAGATTTCATTTAAAGTCTGTAAAGGTTTTCAGATAGACGGCAAACTAACAGACAAAGAAACAACAGGGACTGCCCCTCATGTGGGGAATGTACTTTGAATTATCTGTTTGTCCAACTTACTTACAGTAGATAACATTGTCCACCAGATGGTGCTCTTAGCCTTATACTTGTACAGTGCTTTAGACTTTAGTTAATGTAAAGTGGACATCCATGACACAAGTTCCCAACGTTTTTAAGTTAAGTTATCCTTTATTGATCCTGTAGGGAAATTCATTGACCCATCCTACGTATCAGGAGTGAGGAGGACCAACTCCAGATCTGAGCCAGTGCCTTGGTCAAGAGCACTGACTGGAGAATTAACATACATGTTTTGATGGTGGGAGGGGAACTCCACACAGAAAGTCCCCAAAAAGCTGTGAGGCTCAAATGAAACATTGTTCTTCATTTACAGAAAGAATATACTGTTGTTTAATAAAATGCTACTGTGCCTTACAGGTTAGTATTCACTATATCTTTCTATAAACATGGTTTCTCCAGTGGCTTTTATAGATTAGCTTTTATTGGAAATGTATTTTATGTGTTAGAGATGTTGATGATGTTATTATGTCCTATGAAAGTTTTTGTACTCAATGCAAAGTTGAAATCTTTCAAAATAAATTGCACTTTATTTTTTATATTTTTTCACAAGTTACAAAGCGTCACAGAGGCATCATACTGTAGAGCTCTGTAATAATTCAGATGAAAAATGAAACCAGTTAAACTTCTTACAAAATACTTTACGATACATGTGGTTTTCCATAATGACACACACAGGATCATCCAAAATGTAGAGTTCCTGAGCAAGAAACAAGTGGTGAATTTTCACCTTAAAGTTAAATCACAGTAACTTTGTGTAACCACTGTGGCCACAAGTGGTAATTACAGGATGAAGGCACCTTGGATAGTCCTACATTTCACTTGACTGTTTCCAGCCATCAATAGGTGATCCCACTGAGAGTGAGAATGGGAATGGGATTATTAACAGAAAATAAATTCCATCTAAAATTTGCTGACCTTACACTACTGGTCATACCAGACCGAGTAAGGCTTTACCAATGACTTATGTAAAGTATGGTTTATTGCTTAACAATTTTACTTTTAACTTCAAAATGTTATATTCAAAAGGTTACATAGTCTCACTTTGAATAGAAATGTTATATTCAGAAACTCTTCAAATGTCAGAGAAATGTTTTTTATTCCACTTGTTTATTACTTGTTTCCACATTTCTTTCCAGCGACTCTGTGATATTTACAGTTCCAATTACACTTTGATAATCTTTTGTACAAGCTTTCTTAACTCTTCATAATGTTTTGTTAGTATAAAGGCATGTTACACGAACCAGAAACACTCTTTACAAAAGAAAAATAGCTTTGAGGAAACGTCAGGAGCTTCTCAGACTGTAAACATCAGGGGATCCGAGATGCTTCCCTGAGGAACTCCTTCAGAAAGTTTTTCATAATGGTACAGAAACCTCAAACACACAGGAATTCTTCAAATAACCTTTAGAAGAACCACTGGAGATTTTTTTTTAGAGTGCAGTAAGCCACACCTGAAATACTTAAGTTCAGTTAGTTTTACCTGAAATTTTAAGCAGCTTCCAGAAAACCTGCATCAAAGTATCTGCAGATAACTCCGCCAAATGACGGCAGCAACAGTTTTCAGAATAAACTCAAGTATAATGTATGAGATTTAGAAGGTAAACTCTCTCATGGATAACACCGCATTTTGGAATTAAACACTTAAATTCCACTCTAAAACCAAAATATAAGCAAACATTTTGTGTTTGGCTTCACCAGCTGCTGTGAGAGTTCATGTTTTCTTCAGTTTGAGTCCTTTTGATCAAATAATTTAACACAAATGTGAACGTTTCTACATCAGGAATTGTTGCAAGAATCATTTTCATCATTTTGTTTTTTTAAATCTACAAAAACTTTAAGACTGCATTCTTAAAATGTATGTAAGTCATAAAAAACACTGTTGGTCAACTTTGTATCAATGTTGCTATTTGCCAACCTCCCTTTGACTGTTTAAGCGTTTGTTATTGTATTTTAGAAAGTATTATTTAATTAATTCTCCTAAAAAACAAGTTTATAATGTTATAACCGTTGTAACAAGACTTTTGTGAAGCTTCAGAAATACTTAGTAACAATGTTGATGTTCTACTTTTACCTTCTCATGAACTACTCTGAAAAACACACTTTTCCTCAGATAAGTGAAATTTGGTCAGCAGTGATAAAACAAAAACAATAAAACATATTTACAAACTGTTTTGTCCAGACAAACTACAGTAAAAGTATATATATATATATATATATATATATATATATATATATATATATATATATATGAGAGGCACTGTTGGCTCCTGAGATTGAGAGGAAAAGACTAGCTGCAGCAGCTGTGATGTTTGATTATTTGCTCTTTGAAAATGAATTTTGATGACAAGACCTTGAATCCTTAAAATTTGATTCTAATTATTTTGCTTATTGATTTTTCATATAACTTGAGCAATGAAAAGATGGCAAAATCTGTTGAAAACAAAAACCAGCTTCATTTTCAGCAGATTTAGGCTGCCATAAACAGAAATACAGAGGTATTTTGCAATTTGTTGGAAGGGGTTAAAAAGCCAAAAACAAAAACGTATTACTGTTTCTGTTTCCATGAATAAGATGAATGTTAACATTTCCACTGCAGGTCTGTTCAATGTTGAGATTTACGTCCTGTACGGAAGCTCAGCAGGTCCAAAGGTGGTTTTCAGCGTTCAAAAAGCACCATTAAAAAGTAAGTTTAAGTGATTCCTAGGTTTCATATACATATGTATTAGAAACTGGTTACAATTCAGAACTGGTAAATATTTTGATAGTTCTTTGATGCCACTGTGAAATGCGTACTGTACTTTTTAACAGCTGTATTGAAAAAGAAAAGAGGTTTCAGCAGCTAGATTCACTTCTTCTTAAGCGTCTTCAAGCCTTAAAGAGAGGTATGTTTCAGAAGCCTGTTTTTCTTGATAGGAGTCTGGACGTATCACACGCAGTCATGGTGTTTTCAACTCTTATTAATGCCACTGATGCAGCAGGCGGTGAACTCCAACTCCAGGCCTCAAAATGTCTTTTCCAAAATAGATGTGTGTGTAAGAGACGTCAGAGAAGCTGCATCCATGTTTTCATTCAGCCTGTGGATGGATCAGTGATCTGCAGTCAAACAGCAGAAAACTTCAGATCCACGGAACCGTCTGTTGTATCCTGAACTGGGTCCCAGTTCATCTCAACTGGTGCTTATCAGTTTAATCTTGAATTTCTTCTACTTTGGTACATCAGTGCTAAATGCTCACAGTGACAGACACAGTTAGGGAAGCTGGTGAGAGTCATTAGTGTTTTAAATATCAGACAAATGTAACATTTTGACCTGATGATGGCCAGCAATTCATCCTAAGGGGGTAAGAAACAGTATTTTGGTTAGTCAGATCTGCATTAAATTATTACATTTTCTTAGTTTTTGTATAAAAAAACAAAACTGGTTAAAAGTCTCAAGTCGGTTTTAATTCTGATGCATCACTGATGGATGTGGTTGAGTGCATTTTGTTGGACCTGTAACCTCACCCGTTATGTCACTGATACATGGTAGTGCAGTTCAGCAAGATTTTAATGGATAAAATAAAGTTACTCTTTAAAAGCAGAAAATCTGAGTACACAGATGTGAGATGAGCGCCCCCCTTCGGCCAATCCGATGCAAGTTGAGCTGGGGCTTTAACTGAATTCAGTTTTCCAGATTTCTGTTATTGATTGTGGAAATGCAAAATTAAACTGATAAGCCTGAACATGGACTCTTTAGCACAAAGTTCATGGTGACAACTGAAATCCTGAAGACAAAACTGTCCCAGTCAATGTAGAAAAACACGCGATTCAGCAAAAGGCTGAGATGTTGCAGTTTGATTCATTCCAAAAGCTGGTTTTCCGTGAACTGTCGAGTTCACAGCTGCTGAAGGCCTTGAACTTACACACACTTAAAAACCTTTTTCCTGTAGAAATCCTGAGGGTCAGGCTGAGAATACACAATCTCCTGTAGGAGCCAGAAGAATACGAATACGAAACGACTCCGTCAGTGGCTGAGCAGCCTGAGACGAGCCAGCCAGCCTCCGAGCAGCGACGTCGACTGCTTGGTCACAGCCAGAGGAGGAGAAACAGCAGCAGAGGTGGAGGCGGCAGACTTTTTGGACGCTGCTTCCTGGTAAGGGATTGTCGCGCTGTTGTGCAGGTCGGCGTTGATGAAGCACTGGCTGCCTCTGATGTGGTCGACACCGCGGACAGATGGGTGTCCTCGGTATGGCAGAGGGTAACATGGCTCCTCCTCCATGATGGTGCTGATTCCCTCGTTACTCATATACCTGTGCAGAATGTCCTTCCCTGTTCAGGAGACAAGACGGGAGGTATGAGTTAACGAGTCTGTAGAAGCTGGAGCAATGCCTCTGTCCCTTTTCTGAAGTAAATCTATAAATATCAGAGGATCTCCTGGTTTAAAACCCTTGTTAGTAACTTTTCATCATTTCGTCATTTTGTCTTGATTCTGGCGGCCCCTGTGGACAAAAGCGGTAGTGTTTCCACCGGCGTGGTAGTGTTTCAACCAAATCGACCCAGTGGCAGTAATTAAGAATAACTATATAGAAATAGACAATTTTCTCACTGATGGTCTTTATTCTCTTTATTTATGTTGGTCACAGTACAGTACAGTAAATTATTGTGTTGTAATGCCCTTGAAATCCCCTTGTGCTCACAGTTGATAAGTTAAAACATTAACAGTGAGCTGAGAGGAAAATTAAGATATTAAAGATGCTTTTGGGCACTTTAACGTGTATAAACTCCATAACTACAGTGTAATCCGTTAACACACAACTTTAATTTTTTCTTCTTTCTTCTTTCTCTTGGGACAACGAATGAGAATCCATTTGCAAAACCATTAATCATTATTATTAATGATTATACATAGATAATATAATTTTTTCTCCTTTTTTAGGCATTTTCTAACACTTAAACATGAATCAAGTCACTCAGTTTGTTTATAGATCATGTGACTTGATTCCAGAAACTACTGGAGGAAAATCATTTATGATACAAAATAATAATATTGCATACAAATATATTTAATACAAGTACTAAAAAAAAGAAGTTACTAGACGCAGAACGACAGTGAGTCAGTGATTTTAGGATTTAAAGGTGAAGTCACATGTAAACACAACACAGCTGCCAGTGTGTCGAGTTATTTCTATTGTTAGTCTCACTTTAAGAGTCAGCGGAAAACAGTCCAACTCCTAATGTGTCTTTGTTTAACTGCTCCATCTATTAACAGCCTTTTATCTTGGATAAACTGCCAACACACACATACACACCCACATCCACACAGTTCGTTCCTCAAGGTGAAGTGCTTTAGGAACCAGACTGAACTGCGACCGAAATCAGCTCCGTCGATGCAGCTGCAGCTCTCAGGGTTAATAAGTGACGAGGTAAAAATTCAAAGCACGCAGCCCGTTCCGCCACCGTTTGTCCTCAGGTGTTAATGAGGCAGACATACGGCCATCGCTGATAACCGTTAGATTACAGGCGCTCAGCTGCGTCTGGTTCAGCCGTGTAAGTGGAGCTTACCTTTCCTTCCCTTAGCGCCAGGCCTGGAGGACGGGTCGGACACACCAGAAAACGACTCCACCGGCATGGAGACAGGTCGAGGTTTACCTGCAAATCGTCCAGATACAGCAAAAGTTAAAGACCTGCAGTGAAATATATATTATAGTGGCATGTAGATAAATATAATATGATATATTTCATCTTCTGTTTGTGAGATTTTTCATGTTTTTTCTAACTCTTGATACATCTCATCTGCTCCCATGAACAGCTGCAGTAGCCACAGGGACCAATAAAGTCTTTTTTTATCTTATCTGTCAACCGCCGACATTTTGTGGTCATTCAGACTTTAGATTTAATGATTTGCATGCTTGAATTCAAAGGATTATTTAAACGTTTTGGGAAATACACTTACTTGCTTTCTTGCAGAGATTTAGATAAGAATACAGATACCACTCACTAATGTCTGTACAGTAAACATAAAGCTACAGCCAGCAGCCAGCTTAGCTTAGAACAGAGACTGGAAACAGGAAGAAACAATTAGCCTAGCTCTGTCTTAAGGTAACAAAATACACCTACCAGCACCTCCAAAGCTCACTAATTAGCATGTTTTATCTCATTTAATGTACCAAAACTAAAGTGCAAAAACAACTGTGTGGTTTTATGAGTGGTTGTTTATGCTGTAACATCCTGGACTTGTGTCATCACTCTGAGGTTGTCATGCAACCAGTGGAGACACAATAGTGCAGCACATAAAGTCTTGTAAAACCACAACTTGACATTTTTATACTCCGCTTTTTGTCTTTGTGCTGAGCTAAGAAAACTGTCTGCTGGCTGTAGCTTCATATTTAGTGTGCAGACATATTGCAAGCAATCTTCACATCTGACTCTCAACAAGAAAGCAAACCAGAGTATTTCCCAAAACTTTAAGGCAAGACTTTGTAAAATGTTTGCATTAGGTTAAGGCTGAGCGTATGTGTGTGTGTGTGTGTGTACACTCACAGCGTGTGGAGGAGCGCTGTCTAAGGCATACAGGTTTTGCTTGGTTGACTTCAGGTGGGGGGCTGATGGACGTCCTGTTGTCGTCGGCAACGGTGAAGCGTCGCCGCACGTCTGCGTCCAGGCACGAGTTCGGAGACTTCGGCCTCATTTTCACACCTTGAGACACGTTCATGTTGGCGTCTCTTCAGAGAGGAGCAGAGCAGGAGGAGAAGGATCGTTGAGATTTAATGCTACAGATTTACAGAACCCCTGCAGCACTTCTTCGCCATCCCCAAAAAGGAATCATTTGTTATAACCAGGATTATGATACTGTAATTAGTGTGGATCTTCACGATATAGGATAAATTTATCAGCCTGGTACTCACAGTGGCACGTAAGGGGCGGCAGGGGGAGGAGGGACGTACAAATCCAATACGGCTGCCTTCCCTCTCTTCCCAGGAGCGTCTGAGGTTTCTGGCTGTTGAGATCTGTAGAGACCTGGAGCTCCCTGAGAGGTCTAGACACAACAAGAGAAAGAGACATGATTACTGGTATTACTACTGCTGTTAGATTAAAAATGAATACTTAAATTTGGAAACAAAAGAATTTCCTGTTGTAACTTCTGTTCATCTGTGTTTCTGTCAGGCTTTTAACAACATTTCTGTCACACAGCAGCCAGCAAAGGAGGTAATGATTCATTTAATGGTGTTTATCATAAAACAACAGTGAGACGTTCCAGCTCGAGAGGAGAAACAGCAGACGAAGCTCTTCTGTTTCCTTCCTCACCTCCAAAGCTTCTGTATTTCCATAAACACAGGAACTTTACTCAGCTCCTTTTCTGCTTTGTCTATGTTGCGAAACTACGTCTGAAGGAGTTTAAGACGCAGACAGAAACACACGTTCCTCTGCTGGTTAAAGATCATATATTATCATATCTTCTCCCTCTGTGCCGTAGAGCATCACATCCACATCAACATCAACACATTGATGAGCCACACTGTTGAACGGGGTGACATGCTCTGTCATTACCATCTGATTAGTTGTAAAAAAAAAAATTTTTTTAAAAAGAGTTCTCAGAGAACAGGTTATGTCTTGTTTGTTCATTATATGTTTGTTATGCTCAAACTCAAACATATTCATATTTGCTCAATAAACATCTTAAATGATTCATAAATAATAATAATAATTGTTGTTTAATGTTCAGTCAATCGATCCATTAATTAATATTACTAAGGGTAATCTTAATATAGTTGTTTTAGCAGTTGTCATATTTAATTAAAATGTGACGTCTGATTACTCCACAGTCAAAATAACAATTATTTTCATCAAAATGATCATTTACTTTAGACTGGAAGGTGATGATCAGGCTGAGTACAAGTAGAGGAAATGTAAGCGTTGATTCCTTGACCTTTGAACTGGGCAGTAGGAGTGGCGGTGAGGCAAACACTGACTGACTTCAGACCTGTTTTGATAGCCTAGATTAGAGACTGAACGCATCAACCGGGCTGCCAAGGGGTATAGAAGATGCCTATCTTCTCTAAACACACACATCCTGGACCTCCATCAACACAAAAACCCCGAAAGGCGGTTTGGTGAATTCATAATTGTCACATTGTGGAGAAACAAATGAGTCAACTTCCAAAAGATGTCTGACATCATCAGCACAGCCTGATGTTTGGAGGGCTTCCTATCCCCTTTTTTTTTCAGGAAAAGAAGGAAGAAAGGATCCATTGTTCAGCCACACACCTCAGCAGAGCAGCAGACTGGGTGGCTGCTGTGCTTTCTGGTTGGATTCTTCACAAACAAAAATAGCTTCACTAAAAGCTACGATGACAGACGGAGAACGCACCAGAGGGGGGTGCTTTATTTACCTGAGGGAGGGTTACTGAAACACTCTGCTTCACTTTCATACAGTGACATATAGTCTCACCTGAGAGCTTCCTGAAACAACAGCTGCTGGGGGTTCAGTGGTACCTGGGCAGTCACTTTCCCAGAATTCAGAATTTTTTTTTATCCCTTCTCCTCTTTCTACTACCACACTACAGCATCTACAGAACAACAGCCACAGAGCAACATTCTCATTCATTTGGAGTCCTGTTTGTGTCCATCTCATATGTAAGTCCAATATTCACTCTCTTTTAGCTCTGGTTTTGGTCTCCGCCAACTCCTGAGGAAAAATATCCGTCTCTTTAGCTGCTAAATGCTCCATTATGTTCACCAGCTAGCGTCTGACAGTGCTGAGCTCGTAGTTTGGTTTTAAGAGCTTGTTTGCTGAGAACGAGGTTAATGAGAGCAGTGAGACTGAACCAAACAGTAAAGTTACTGTAAAACCAAAAGAATGAGTTGGAAGACTAATTCCAACACTAAAAAGCCCCAAAGAAAGAAAGAAAACATTCCAATGCTGCTGAGCAGCTCCGGACAACAGAAACTTCAGTGTTGGCTGACAAACAAGACTCAGTTCCTCAATGTTGCTGCTTGAACCCTGAAAACAGGCTGTGAAGGAGAAACTACGGTGGCTGTGAAACTTCAAAATGATGGTAAAAAAAGAATCAGGAGGGAAAGAAAAGAAGAACAGAAAGAAGAAGAGGAAGAAGTAACTACAGTGCCCCTGTAGCTGGTTGGATTTCAGTGTTTTTGCTCAAAGGCACTAAGGCAGGGTCGACAGCCTGCTGCACTGACAGGCTGTCGGGGGGCAGCTCACCTGTACGCGCGGTGGTCTCCAGCGCAGGTTTTTCAGCGGAGCGGGTGCGAAGCCACCGGATGTTCCAGACGGCCTCTTCTTCACCACCATGACGACGCCTCCAGACTCTGCCCTCAGCTTCTCCACCAGGTGCTTCAACTGCCAGCCCACCTGGACCAATCACAGAGCAGGAATTTAAACTTTATTACGACTCATTACTGATAAATGTCTTGGCTGTAGCTTCATATTTAGCATACAAACATGAGTGGCTTTGATTGTCTGTTGGAGCATTTAATTGAATTTTACAAAATGCAGAACTTTTTCTTTAAAGGGACGGACTTTTGACTCACCACTGTCTGTTTGTTGACCTGAACGACTTCATCTCCAGCATGAATCCTCTTGGTTTTATCTGCAGGAGACTGAAGAGCAGAATCTCATTAGAAGGTTTGGAGACTGATCAAAAACAACAAAGACTAGAGCTTCCAGCATGAGTCAACACACTAACATCTCTTTAATTTTACACGTGTTACAACCTGAGAAACGATCTGAGTCTCTAAGTGTCACAAAAAACAAACTGGGAATTGCTTACATTGCTTTCAGGACCAGAGCTAGACTAAATGTCTGGAAACACAGCAGTTGTGATAAAGAACCAGCAGCACACTCACATTCTCCGTTGTTCCTGTGATGACATGAAGGCCGTCGTAGGTGGATTTGATGTAAATACCCTGGAAGATTAAACACATTTGAAGTGTGTCAGTGTTGTCAGAATGTATATATGAATCTTCTATATAAATAACCTTACGCGGTTTCTCTATATTTACTCACTGCAGTGGTGGTTGTGTTTTTTTTTTTTTTCGGACCTACATCTGTTTCTGTTTTCGATTCGCTGATTGTGGTTCATGGTGCAGCACTAAAATACCTGTTAGTGTCTCTCAGGGGAAGGGTTTTTCTTTTTACAGAACTCGGTGTTTATGTGACAGTGATGTCCTGCTGATATGGTCTGAATGTAAAATGATGACGTCTGTCCTGTAATTGTATTCTGTCCAGTTGTTTATGCTGTTTTATCATATATGCTGAGCTCACCAGTCCCTCCCCGGGCTTGACGTTGGTGATGTGCACCTCCTCCAGACAGGCCACCTCACTCTTTAAGGGGTCAGAGGTCGCCTGGACTGTTTTCTCACAGATGCTGTTCAGAGCTCGGGACTGAAACACACACAAGAAAATATAAAAACAACAGTTTAAATCCCAAAATAAGAATAAATCAATGCAGTTGAGCTGAAACAAGCTGACTGACAGTAAATTAATCTGCATTTGTTTTGATAACAGATTAATTATTTAGGTCATTATTTTGTGCAATAATGCCAAATATTTCATAGTACTGGGTTGTTAAATTTAGATCAAGAAATACAAGCAATTTTAAAGACGTCACCTTCGGCTGTACTGACATTTTTCACACTTTCTGACATTAAACGATTAATCAATTAATCATAATAATCTGCAGATATATGACATAACTTGAATAACACTCATCAAACAGACTCAATAATAGTCATGATGAGGTGTTGGAATCAGTTATGGAATTTTTTAGGATAAAAATACATCAGTCCAAACCTTTCATTTGGCTTCTATATGTACTAAAACTCTGCCCTCTTAGGGCTGCAACTAACAATTATTTTCATTATCAATCAATCTGTCGATCATTTTCTCCATTTGATTAGTTCTTTGGACCATAAAATGTCGGAAAACTGTGAAAAATATTCACAGCTTCCTAAAGCCCCTAGAAGACATCTTCAAATGTCTTGGTTTGTCCACAGTCCAAACATACTCAGTTTGAGAAGATGAAATCAGAAAATTTGGAATTATTTTCTTCAAGAAAATAACTCAAAATAATAAATTGATAATTAATTTAATAGTTGACAAGTAATCGATAAATCAACTAATCATTGCAGCAGGGAGACACCAAACACATTAACACAGTCAGCGTTACATATCAAACTATATAAGCTGAAGATTTCAGTTTAGATTGATTTATCAAAGAGAGGAAGTCCTCAGCAGCATGGTGGTCTCATGCCAGTATCCGTTCTGTTGAGTCTAAAACGCTGAATCACTACCTGCTGCGACAGCACTAAAGCTGTCTGTCCCTGACCTCTGACCTCTCTGTGGGAAGGGAAAAGAAAGAAATAGACTGATGAACCCCTCAGAGATCAGAGCCGTGTCATATCATAAAAGTTCCATGTGTTACAGTACTGTAGTTGTTGGTTTTGTTGAACAACAGACAGGAGGATCTTCCAGGAGCCTGAGGCCTACACAGACCGAGCACAGCCTCAGATTATCATTATACTGACTAGACACTGAAGCGGTCCTGAGGCGCAGCAGGGGGTCTGAGGTCATGGGAAGCAGGGAGGCGATCAGGAAAACACCAACCAGCAGGAAATTACAAGTAAACCAGAAAAACAATGCTCGTCAGGAGAGTTCATTCCTTCTTTGTCTTTTGATTTGATTGTTATATACATTTCCATGCTCGTGTCTGGGGTGGAGAACAGTCTGATTACTTTGATTTTTTTCCCATTTTGTATACACACAAAACAGCCTGGCTTGCAAAACCTGAGATCTCACTGTGTGGGGTTTTGTTGTCAGGGCTCTTGCTACTCTATCTGTCTTTGCAGTGTTTCCCTCTTTGTCACCTGGACAAACAAACTGAACCAAAGCCTTTCACTAAGTAACTGAGCCCCTTACAATGCTGTTAGTTCGGAGTAAGAACTAGTATAAAAACGGGATGGACAGCAAAAATATTGGGGAATTTAACAAAGATTGCATGAATGAAATGATTCGCTTTCTTGCCGAAAGATAGATGAGAAGATTGATACCACTCTCATATCGCTACAGTAAATATGAAGCTGGAGCCAGGAGATGGATAGCTTAGCTTAGCATAAAGACTGGAAAAGAGGGAAACAGCGAGCCTGGTTCTGTCCGAACGTAAAAACACCCACCGACACCTCTAAAGCGCAATCATTTACAATGGTATGTCCCATTTGTTGATTGAGGCAACTAAACTAAAACTTGAGGTCTCATTAAACTGATAGTCAGGAGCGAAAGTGATTTCAGTATTCTGGGAACAACAGAACAACCAACAGGAAGTGTTATCTAAGACAGGAAGTGGATTGTCCTGAGCTGAATAAACAAACCTGCAGATTCTCTCTCACACACACATACTGAACACCATGGGGCACTCGGTACAAGACAGGAAAAGGAAATGTGCGTTCCACTGTGTGTGTGTGTGTGTGTGTGTGTGTGTGTGTGTGTGCGCTTCTGATAAGCATCTCCAAACATCCAAACCAGAGGAAAAAGGAGAAGCAGTACTCACCACTTCCAGAATCTTCTCCTCAATCTCATAAACAGTACAGTCCTGCAATTAAAGAGACAGAGAGACTGAATGATGGGCGCACACACTTCAATCCTAAAAACATCCAAACATCTGCATTCTTATCAAGAGAAGAGAGCAATTCTGCCTTTGAAATAAGGAGACTCCCATTTTAAACCACCAGTTTCAGTTCAGGGGGAAAACAGGTGTCTTTATAGTCAAATTAATATTGTTATGTTATTTATCTCTAGATCTTGCCTCTGATTCTGTGCTTTTATTTTGAAGAGGAATAGGGCAATGTACAGAAATAGATGATGAGACTCTGAGGGCAGCAAATAATCCATGAAAATGAGGAAAAGAGAGTTGCATGATTAAACTCTTTGACCCCACAGACTCTTTACTGGTTTCCTCTTTTCTGCACAGACAAACAGAACTTTACTTTAGATTTAAGTCAACAACAACAGATACCAAATGTGCCAGACTGAATGAAATGTACATACATGCAGATCTGTCATGACCTAAGAGATCACATCCTCTAACATTTCTGGGAATCTGAGGGGTTTCCTGACATCAAGTGGAGTCTACAGTCTCATATTACATAAGTTGTGTCTTTTAGACTAAATACTTACAGATTTATAGGGGGGATTTCAGGGGAAATTAAAGGTATTTTGGTATTCTCCATCTGAGTTATGTTAGTGTACAACATTTAGACACTAATGTATGGAGATAAAAATATAATCAAACAGTTCAAATGCTCATGACCTCTGTATCTCTAAAATCTGGGCCTATCCTGAACAAATTATTTTCAGAAGCATACATGAAAAAACATCGGAAAGTTTTTATCTGATGTGATGTTGCAGCCTCTCATGTATTATAACTCGAGTCACAAAGCTCAAAGCCAGTAAGTCATTTAACAACACCTAACTTGTTCTTACCATTTGGATAAAATAATATTCTGCAGCATGATAGAAAAGATGTTTTACTTGTTTCCCAAGTTGTGACTCCAAAAATGATGGCACCAGAAGTGACATATGTTTTTTTAAACTTTTGAAAGCTCCCTCCAGAGCCACAGGAGACAATATACATGTTGTCACAAGCTGAGCAGCACTCCTCATGACAAGTAAACTGTGCTTCAGGAGTAAAATCTGTGAGCCTCTGGAATATTTTATAACCCAGATGGTTCTGATAGCTTACATGAGAGGCACAAACTGGGATAGGAGCAGATTTTAAAATGTTACTCAATATAAAGCATTATATGTACTGTAGCTTTAATGAAAAACAAGGTACATGAGCATGTAGAATAGAGGATGTGTCTGGAAAACAGGGAAGGGAAGGGGAATTTAAAGGGAATAATGGGAACATACAGACAGAGTTTATCAATTTACAGACACCAGAAACAAACAAAACATCTTCTAAAAAAAGTAAAATTTTGAGCCCCATCATATCAAATGAGACAGCTTTCCTTTTCAGAAGTCTGTCTGTGTGAAGAACTGCAATGTGGGTAAACAGAGATGGGATGGGAGAGAAAGAAAAGAAAAAAGGAAACAGCGGGAAAACAAATATTTGAGAAATGACAGCCTACAGGAGAGTGAAACCAGAGGGAGGGACCGCAAACGCCTCCCAGAGACATAGAGGATTCCTCCTGTGGTCGGTGAAATAACAGCTCCCTGCAAGCAGGCTGACAAGATGATTGCATGACAGCGCGGCGGGGCGACGCCTCAGCGCTGCACAACACTTTACAGTCACATGTGGGGAGGTGACACGCTGCAAAAAACATCCAACTGCACAGCCGCAACTTCAACTGCGAATCCTAAGACCTACTTTCCAAATCTCACCTGTGCTTTTTTTGTTAGGAACTTTTCTGTTTTTCTAGGACTTTCTGTTTCTTTCTAGAGTCATCTGCCAAATATCTTAAGGGGTTTTTTTTTTGTGTCATAAAACACAAGACAGAATTTTGATTGGTAAAATAATCACACCTCGCCACTACATGACTTGTGAAGCCGTTGTGTTTACTGCCATGTTTAGACAATGTGACCAAGAGGGTTTTCCTGCTGTAGAAAAGACAAGGTTTGCTCTGATTGTGTAGAGCAGCTACCATGCAGGGTGCTGTTGCTGTTGCTGTTGCTGGCTGACACGTCACATTTGATTGACTGATTTACAATAACAGTGGATCCAACTCAGAAGTCAAAAACAAGAAGCAGCAGCAAGAAAACACACAGGCTGAACACGTCTGACAACGTCTGAAGATGGATGACTTATATTTGAGTTGTTTATCTCCTTCCATTGTTGAGCAACTAAGTGATCAAATAAATTCATGAATCATTAGGCGGAAAAATTGCTTACTGCTCCTTTAACAAGATGGTTTGGTTGGTTTTGGTATTCTATTTTTTTTTGTATTAGGCTCATTTGTAGTGCAGATATGAATTTATGGAGAAAAAAAATTATCACTCTTAGCAGCACCTGCTGAGCTACACCTTCATGTTTTAACCAGTCAGTGATGATTCTTTATGCATGTTTAACTAGCCTCATAAGCCATGAGGAAACTTTCAACCTTAACTCATTCTAGAGTAATAGTACGATCGAGCTCTGAGCTCTTTATTAGCTCAACTGTAGAAGTTGTTACAAATCTGATTTGGAAAAAAAACCTACAGAAAATGACAGCATCTCATGAACTGTACACATCTCATTCACAACAGCTCAGTATGTGTTTTCATGTACATGCGTGTCAGCAGGAAGGGGTTGATGGGATGCGAGTGAGTGAGCGTTAACACCTGTGCCAAATGAATGAATGAAACAAATGAATTTAGGGCCTGGACGTGATATAACATTTCCCACTGCCCTTGAACTTGTTCTGTCTCAATTTTAATTTAAGGATAAAATCTAAAGATTAAGAAGTTACAACATAAAATCTCTCTCTTGTTCTTGCTTGTTTTGGTAAAACTGATACCTGAAAGAGATTCATCATCAAAAGGACTTTGTACATGTAAACAGAGGTTATCTGGTTCATCATCAAAGCCTGAAAATAAATATTCCCAGAGGGTCAAAACATGAGAAGTCTGACTTCAGTTCATGACCTTCTTTCTTTATCTGATGTCCCTTTAACACAAGCAGCTTCACACAGAAAACATCATTCCTGGAGCAGAGCAGGGAAGAGCCTCACTGACCTTCTGCACGGTGGAGGTAAGCTCCAGACACAGCTGGATGATTCTGCTCTTGGTGGAGGTGAAGTCGTTGGCGCTCGTCAGAGGAGTCCTGGAAAGAAAGGAATTGGCTGCTGTGAAAAAGGTCTATTAAAGTTCTACAAAGTGCAAGCATCCTGTGACAGTACTAGTAGAGGATAGTAGACAGATCTGAACTGGTGATGTTGCAGTTCATGGTCAAGGTCTTAACCCCTGAGGCACAGCGGCGCCCTGCTCCTCAATCTATATTATGAAAGATCAATGGATGAATCATTCAGGCAAGTAGGCATCTCACTTTTAGTTTAATCAACATTTAATGAGACTGCCACGAAAAAACCTGCATTGCATTCTCAGTCACCAGAAGCTGATTACAGAATCTTTAAGTTATTGTCATTAATCATTTTTGACACTTACAAATGTTGAAAGCTTAAACTAATTAGACTCTAAACGATTTGGTTTCAATACTTGATTCCGATTCAATAAAAACGCTATTGAACCTCAGCTCAAGGTGTTTGCGGGTGTGAGATCTGACACACGACAGCTGTCAGGTGTGTTATGAGCGTCAGTGCAGCAACTTGTCAGAGTTGGTGTGTAACAGCTGCAGCGAGCTGGAATGTTCTTCAAGCCGATACAAGCTGAGAAAAAGCTGAAGGAGTCAAAGAGCACATAGAGAGACGCACTGACAGCTGACAGACATCACACATGTTAGAAAGGACCAGCGCTGATAACTGTGTGTGAGACAGTGAGAGTGTATGAGAGGGGGATTCTTAACACTCTTTTGTTTTTCTCTTACACCCCTTGGGTACCATAAAACTCTCACAGGCCATTCAGATTACACAGATCTGGTATTTTCTACAGAAACTGAACTTGTAAATTTCATTGACACATTTTGACATTTATTGTTGTTGAGATGTCTTTTGGGGCTTTTGTAAATGTCCCCAGCACAATCAATCATCAATCAATATACATAAGCCTGGGATCTTAAGAACACTCTGTAATGTTTAATACAAAATACGCCCCTCATAATAATACACAAAAACAAAGTTTCTCTTAAAGTTTAACCACAGAGCTGACAAAACAATTCCTGAATATTTATCATTATTATCTTATTAATTATTTTCAAACTTGCAATGTCATTTTAATTCTATGTCACTGTATACACGTTTATTCAATAAATACTATTACGGCAATAATATTTCAGATATTAGCCAGCCTGGTGAATAAAAAGATATTAAAGGAATAATAACATTTTACATTTTAGGTTTTTGTTTTTTTCTCATCAAAAGAAGATTGGTAACACTTGCTTGTCTGTGTGCTAAATATGAAGCACCAGACGGTCACCTATCTCAGTGTCAAACCACAGTGTCATTTCTACACTTCAGCTTTTGTAAAGATTAAACTAACAAACTGTGTTTCCACGTTTCCAGACTTTGTGCTAAGCTAAGTGGCTACTGGCTGTAGCTTCATATTTATCGTGCACACATGAGAGTGCTATCGATAATGAAACTGGGTGTCTTGAACAGTTGTAAATTAAATCCACAAGTTCATATGATCAAAATATGAGATTAGAGTTAAATGACTGCACATGAAGGTGAAACTTGACAAGAAAACAGAAGGAGTCATGTTCTAACCTGTATCACGTGTGTCTTTGACAGTTATTGACTGACACATTTATTAATATTAAATTATACCGTTTCCAGTGCAGTGGTGTATGAGAGAGAGAATGTTTAGTTTATGTGTATAGTATGGTGTGTATGTACTGAATGCGTCTGTATCTACCTGTCCAGCCAGGCCAGCAGACTCTTGGCGGCTCCGATCAGCTCAACCACGGCGGTCAGGAATTCGTTGGAGGGCTGATGGGAGATTTTGCTGTGGTAGGCGGGGTTCTTCCTTCGCTGCATCACCGCGCTGCTCAGGCTGTGGTGCGCCACTCTCATCTTCCCCACCAGAGTCTTCAGGTTGTCCGACTCCACACCATAGTTCTGTCCAAGAATTTAAAGAACATGGTTCAAACACAAAAATGGCACAGCTTACATTTTGAACATCAATATATAGAAATCTTATATGTTAAAGCTGCAGTGTGGATTATTAGGAGCTATTTCCTCAGTTCTCTATCTTGTACCAGTGGTGTAGTAAGTGCTCCTCTATCTCCAAAGTCCATATTTCCCACCAGCCTTGCTCACCGCTCCCATCCAGCAGATCCACCTCTAAATCTGATCAGTATCACTTGTCAAAGACAGAATAGGTTGAGACAGAGACTAAAACTCAGCATACGGTCTCATTTGTAGTTCTAATATTGTCTTTCTGACCCAGAATGACACCTCAAAAATGGATTCACACCTTCATTTCAAGCAGATAGAAGACTATTGTGATCTAAAAGAGGCAGAACATTAGGTCAGCTGTAGAGAGTTCGAGTTTTCTTCAGAACTTTTAAAAATATCTAAACCATCTCAAAGGACAGTTGTCAAATATATCCACAAACTATTCTATTTATTTTATTGCCTTTGTCTTTTTGTTTTTTGTGTCAAGCACTTTCAGTGGCATTAATTATACAAATTGTGTGCTATATAAATAAATTGATAACATTTTTCAAAATTAATGTTACAATTATTCATAGTATTGATTCTGATTTTAGAACCTAAAGGTCAGAATTAGACGCAGAAAACCGACAATGCCAACGAGCTTAGGTCAAGAAAACACAAACCTTCACATCATACGCATCAATGATGGCAAGAGATTCTCATGACCCCTGATCCACAACACCCAACACCCCTAACCAAAACACACACTCACACACACACACACACACATTCCTACAGACCAGTCACCATGACGATGATCTGACAAAAAAAATATTCCAAACCACGTCAACCTCGCTCAAACTAAATCCAAACTCAAAGCGAGCCAGTGAGACAACTGTGATGATAATCAGTAAAATCAGTCAATATCAATACTCAATAAAAGCTGTGACCAGCACAGATCAATAAAAAACAACGTTCGAGAAGGACTATCTGGTAACCATGGTGACGAAGTAACAAAAACAAAGGTTGGTTCATCTGTTGCTCATATGAATCAATCTGTTAATCAATGCAATCACCCAAACAGTGGGCAAACATAGCAACTGTACACAAGAGGTGTAACAGCACACAACATGTGAAGTCATATGTTTGCACCAGGATGCAGTCAGTTTTACAAACGTTTGGATGAGTTTTCCAAACTTATCAACGGCTACAGAAGATACTGTAGAAGGATAATGACTGCAGAATACTTTGTCCTCACAGATCTGTAATTTATTCTGTCAGCTGACATGTGCACACGCTGGCTCGCCTGAGGCAGCTCATATGTTTGAGGCATCAGGACGCTCAGAGCCGGTGAAAACATCTGCAGCCAAAAACATTTCACCTGTCGACTGACTGCACTGCAAAAAAAAATAACAAAACATGACACTTGACAGAGAGCTGAAATCCTGTTTCAGGTCAATGTTCAAATCATGTTAGAAGTAAAACGATCTCAACCTGCCAGCAGCAGATATGTCAATAGAAAAGAGCTTGAAAGTGAAGTTAGACCTCTGTTGGAGTGAGACAGGCAGTATCAGTCTGTCAATCTGACTTAACTCACATGTGAGTCTTGCTTCGGTGAAACAAAACATTCAAATGAACATTTAAAAGCTTTTGTATTGAAAAACTGAAGCAGCTGAACAGAAACTCCACAGCCCTAGAGCTGCAACTACCAATCAACAATAAACTTGACGACCTCTGATTGTCACATTTGAACACTCATTAAAGAGTACACCTCAGAAATGTTGTTTGCGCAGTAAACAATTTATTACTCGTCATAAATAGATAAAACAATACTTGTCGGTTAAGCACATACTAGAAGTATTTACCTAAAAAACAAAACTCATTTGCCACATTAAGTATAAAACGAGTACAACCTGCTAATTCTGAAATCCTTATCTGTAGGGCTGCAAACGACCAGAGTCATTAAGATAAATGTGATCATTATTTTCCCAATTGATTGAGTAATCGTTGAATCTATCTCAAACAATTATTAGCTTATCGGCCTCAATTTTACCTTTAATTATTATGTTCTTTTACTCAAATGATAAACTTGTGTTTGGGAGGTGAAAGAAAAAAAGAGAAAGTGTCTCCTGCTCCACTGAATGAGTCTCAGATGGAAAACTGATCATCTGACAGCCAACGGAAACTGCTGCTGGAACAAAAGTGCAACGGCTCTTCCTCTGCATGCTGCACACTGTGTTTGAGTGTGTGTGTGTGTGTGTGTGTGTGTGTGTGTGTGTGTGTGTCAGGGGAAGGGTGGGGGGTCTTTCTGACAGGTGGGAGGGGTCACATCTGTTTCCTGCTCCACACCAGACAGCAGTAAACTCGGCTTTGTGCTGCAGAAAATATCCACAACACGTCACTTGACCTTCAATTCAGTCTTACAGGAAAACTCTCCCTAAAACACTCGAGCTGCTGCTGATGTGTGATCTATTCATGACTCTGTTTAGCCGTTTTTAGTTCATCTCTCTTCAGTGTGATCTTTAGTTTTACAGAGGAAATTAAAGAAAATATTCCAGGCATCAAAAACAGCAACAGTAAGTGCCCTTGAGCAGGGACAGGGGGTCTCATGAACAAGTTCTGTACTTGGGTCTCATAATGACACCGTCTGAAGTTCCATTCGCGGAAGAAGGTCGTGGAACGTGGTCAAAAACCTGGAAAAAGTTAGCAAGTGAACCTTAAACATTCTTCACAGGAGAGTAAATGTCAGGTTTTCCTCTAGCTGGAGTCAGGAGTCTACGAGCACCAGCCAAGTCTCCTTCACGACACTCATCCCAACCGGTGTGGGACACTGCCCGGCTTTGTTGAACTGGTGTTTCAGTGAAAATGAATTTAATGAGAGCGACATTTAAACGTCATTTGACCAGCTTGTACAAAAGAGAGTGAACGAATAAAGAGAGAAAAAAGGAACGAGAGGGAGAGAGCTGTGTATAAACAGAAGTAGAAAGGTGAAATTGAAACTTTAAGCCCCTGAAAAAAGTTATTTTTAAATACCATAAATATTCACTAAATATGTAACTAACAATCAGAGTAAAAGTTTTAGTAACACAAATACAGAAATCTCTCATGGGAAATAAATCAAAAACCAAAACTGGTAACTTCGTCATAAAATACCGACAGTCAGCAAAATGAGTTTGACAGGGTCTTAAACATTTAGACTATTTGGTGATTATTCAATGCAACTCTGTGTCAAGTCATATATACAGTAAGTGTGGAGTTTGGATGTTCTACCCTTCTCTGCCTGGGTTTTCTTTGTGTCTTGTGTCCTATGGTTTCCCTCACACAGTACACAGACAGATAAACTGCTATCTATCCTGAACAAACCCAAGCGTTTGGGAGAAAAAGACAAATGGAAGTAAAACTGAATGTGTGGTCTGTGGCTTAATGACTAAGGAGAACTGTGGACCAGTTGGGAACCACTGACCTAAACTGGAGTTCAGAACTGGAGGAGATGTTTCTTTCACATACAATAAGAACCAGAGGACAGTGAGCTGGAGTTGATCTGCTTTACTTCCAGATAATGTCATTATTTTATTTCCAACAAGCTGAGTCATATCAAACTGGAACTTATCGCACCCCATTAGAACATTTTTCACTGACTGATTAAATGACTGAACAAATTAAGCTTCTTGGACGAATCCCACACTGCAAAAAATGTTCCTCCAAACCATCATTCCCATGCACTTTTAGGGATACAATCATCTTCATATACTGAAGTAATGTGAATATGCTCATAAGAAGACGGATAGAGGATAGACGATTAACGAAGATTAACCCAGCTTCAATAACACAACTTTAAACAGTAGTAGAAGTTTTCCTGTCTGATAACTGTCTCACTGGCAGAGGTTTGTCATTTGTTAGCAGTGACAGCAGAGTGTCAGGCTCTGGATCCTATTCAGTTGGGTTCCACAATAAACCTCAGCACTGACTGTAAATCCTCCTTTTCACTGTGACACAGACAGTCAGGGCTCATAAACAGCTGACTGAGGGGTTCTGTCTGCAGTCCAACACTTTAACTGGTTCAGACACAAGAACTTTGTTGTTTGGATTCAGCTGGGGTCAAACACTGTATCTTAACATAAACATTTTAAAAACATGAAGGCCTTTTGTGAGCTTACTCACTTTTTAATAAGCATTTTTTTTATTTTGGCAAAATATAGAAATACCACAGCGGACTGCAATCTAAAATGTGGTTATTAATTTCTACTTGTATTTTAAAACAATCTGTGATAGACCTGCAGTGTTCTCTGTTCTCTAGTTGGTTTTCTAGTCTTGTACAGTTCTTCACATGAAATAAATCAAACTGTATTGAAAACACATGTAAGTTGGGAGAAGAACATTTTAAAAGCTTTCTTTAGTGAAAGGACAATTTCTGAGAAGTGTTCTTTCTGAAAATCTGCAGAAACCTTTGCTACATTATTTTTTTTTTACAGTGTAGAAGTATTAAACCCAGCAGTGTGGGCGTGTTGCCAGATCTGATAAAGATTTAACAGTGCATTTTATTTACATCAGCACATTCTCTGGCATGAGAGCCAGACTCAGTTTTAACCACAGCTATCAAACCATGTGATGGACATGAAGCAATTTCAACATATCCACACAGAAAAGATGTTATTACCCTGCAGGAGAACTTCCCCACACGTAGACAGACAGGGAGCTTTTTCTTTAAGAGAGATACTGGTGTTCTTTGATATTCTATATAAGCTAAACAGCCTTAAAATCTACTGTGATTCTCACGGGGCAAAAATATCTCTGAAACATCTCTGAAACACTGACCTACACAGGAAAAAAAGAAGAGTGTCCCTTAACTTTGCTGTAGTATAATGTGACCCAGTGTGTGAAGCTGTCTTGTGCAGCTTCAAATATTTATTTGGCGTGTAACAGAACACAGATGTTCGGGTTTGATACGGGACTTAGAATGACTTCTGTCTACATCTCAGCACTTGGTGAACAAAACTGAGAGAAAGCTTTGTCTTAGGTTTGTTGTTTGCTGACTTTTAGCTAAACCTTGCTAGTCAGGTGAGCCCAGCCCATACAATCATCAGTACAGTGAACGTCAGTGAGAGGTCAGAATATCATAGCAACGCTGAACAAAGAGAAGTGGATTGGACGAGAACTGTATGTCAACACTGTCTGAGCCCAGTCTATGATGGATATGTCTCTGGGTAGATTCATAGACCTATGAGTTCAGATCCTCATAATCTTCATGTTTGGGAGTTTTCCTCAATATCAAAAGAAATCCGGTGATAGTTGTTTGTTTTCATGGTAACAGCACAAATAGGAGCTGCTAATAGCTAATTCAGAGTGACTTTTCATAGTGCAAATTAACCACAATGTGAACAAATGTAGGCTAAAGAAACCTTTTTTTCTGTATCAAAACATGTGTTTTGCGTTATTAAGGCTCAGAATGTCCCACTAATAACACTGTAAACACAAAGGTTTAGAGTGATGTTAGCCGACTGAGGAAAGACCCTGACATGGATGAAGGTTTACAATGATGTGACGGGTTACTGACCAGGGCGCAGAGCAGATCCACGGCCTCCAGCACCAGCTCCTGGTGTCCGACCCGCGACACACCCAGAGACAGCAGCTCCTGGTGGGACATCCTGAGCAGCTTCTCCCCGTCCACCTGCTGCTGCTGGAAGGACGGGATGTACTGCTGCAGGCTGTCATCCAGACCTGAGGGACAGACGGAGACGTAACACATTGAGAATGGACACCAAGGACAGCGAGACTTTCACAACAACAATTCTGTGCTTTGTTTTATTACAGCGTGTATGCAGGATACACAAGCACTGTACATATGAGAGAGAGTACACGATACTAAAACAGGGTTTCCTTTCAGCAGCTGAGTTTCAGTGGAAGTCGGTTATGATCCATTCAAGTTTGACAGCAAACAGAGCTGCTGAGTCAACACCGACTTATTGACTCTTCCTGCTGATCCATCACTGACGACGGTCAACAGCTAACATCGTCCTGCCACCTCATCACACCACACCTCACCTCAGGATCACTCTGGGTTTACACAGACGATCCTACCATCCTGCAAACAGAAGGTCCCAGGCCTGACCCCATCAACGTCAACTGCACCAGAAAAAGTTACGTTTCAGACCAAAATTACAGCCAAACCAAACTTTAACTGCCATCTATATGTATCTAATTTTGTAAGCTTTAAGTAGCTCCTGTCGTATACATCATGAAGTTTTCAAAACGCCCAAATTAAGATTGAATATGGAAACAAAGATTTCAGTGCTGATGAATGAAGCTGACAGCAATCCATTAACATCAAAAGCATCACTGTTTACATTAATAAATCCATCCTGCAGAACCAGCAGATAAGACCTGGACCGTTCTGGACCATCAGGATCCCACCTTTAAATCCCCGTGACCTCATGTGACCTTGAGCGAGACCACGCCAGCTCCAGCGGCGCCACTCTGTGCCAGACCCTGAACTCTGACATCTGACCCCTCTGTGAAAGGCAGCAGTGGGGGACCAGATAAAAGACTTCTCACCACTGGATCAATGGAGGAGCATCCACCAACATCCACCACATACTGGCACACTTCAGTACAGACGGACAAAATGTTCAACCCGAGCAGGATTAGGGTCTGCTTGGTTTGTAAAGGGCTGAAACATTAAAGAATTTGTCGGATTCAGAAAATATTTTGCACATTTTTTTACACACATTATTGATTAGAAAAAGGAATAATCTAAATTAAGTTGTCTGTTTAGGTTTAAATATAAAATCATCTCTACTACACAATTTGATCCCAAACGCTGAGTAATCTTTGATTTAATGTCACTGCACGCAGCAGTAACAGTCCTTCTTGTGCTCATTTCTGGTGTTTCTGTTTTATTTATTGATTAATCGATTGACAGAAAATTGATCAGAGTTCGAGTTATTTTGAAGCAAAAATGCTTAAAAATGTTTTTCTCAAATGTGATTATTTGATGTTTTCTGTTGTGAATTATAGTGAATTAAATATCTTTGGGTAAATAAATATTAATAAATATGGACATATTTTACTGATAGTTAATCAGGAAACTGATGGGCAGATTATTGGATAATGGAAAATGATCAGCCATGGTTGTGTCTTGTTTTATTCCGTCCACCTCATAATGTAGAAAATTTGTAAATCAAACTATCAGTTAATAGCTAATAACTGAATAACTGAATAGTGTAGAGAAAAGCAGCAACACTGCCAATGTCCTAAACTAAAAACACATGTAAGTTTGAGAAACCTTTTGCACAGAAGCGTCCACCAAATGGCAGATGTTGTGACAAAATGCCTGAGCTGGTGTGAAGAGTGGAGAAGAAAACAACTGCCCCTGCATGTGGTCATTAAAGTGTCCCAAAGAAACTCTGACTCCTGTTTGTCTTCGGACGGACACGCAGGACGGCATATGGCCGGTACTCACGCTGACAGCAGGGAGGAGAATTCCTCCTTAACTAAATGCTGATGTGACACCCCGGTGTTTTCACCAGCCAACACCTCTGACACTGAGATACACCAAGTATATTACACTGTGAGACTTACCACAATAAAGAGCGAGCTTCTTTGTTTACTCGCGTTCAAAAGTTGTCATGTAGGGTAACAAATTAACTGTTTTAATTGTGTATCTGCTTTTAGTGGAGCTGAAAAGATTAGTTGAATATAACCTGAGACGATTTTGTCATGCCTATCAATCATTGAAGTAATTTATAAAGCAAAAATGCCAAAGATTCTCTGGTTCTGATCTCCTCATATTTGAATCTTTTAGCTTTTTTATGTGAAACTAAAATTAATATTTAAGGATTTTGGACAGCTGATCAGACAAACAAGACACTAGAATCTATTCAGAAAATATCTTTTGATGTTTTATGGCCAAACTTTTTATCAATTAATTGAAAAAAGAGTAGGCAGATTATCTGATTTTGAATATAATCCTTAGTTAAAGTATTTAAGCTTTTATTGCTACAAACAACACTTCATTATTGATTGATTGTTGGATTCATTCATTAAAAATCAACTTTTCATTACCAGATCAAGTGGTATCCATTTTGTCCAACAACGAAACAACAATAAAAAAAAGTCTTCTATTTATAATGATAACAACTAAGAAATGCAGAAAACTGGATAAAGCTGACTGAAATGAATCTGTCAATAAGTTTTCTTTTTAATTTTGGCAGCAATGACGCATTTTCACATTTCTTTTTCATTTTAATGTCAAATTTTAATTGAATCCCACAGCATGCAAAAAGGTAAACTGAGATGACAAACGTTAAATAAAAGATGAACTTGATTGAATGACGGCATAGGCAGCCCTGAACTTGTATACTAAAGATCTCCTTCTTTACAAGCTTGTTTGGGTTGAGCTGTGGCAACTAACTTCGTCGGAAAACATGTTCTGGTCCTGCATCTTTCCTGGAAAGATGCCCAGTTGCAAACTTCCATGATATTCCCCAACTCCCTCAGAGAAATATTCAAACTCTGCCTGCCTGGAACACACCCATCGAAAATCCCTGAAAATATTAACATGTTTCAAACAAAACATCTTTCACTGTTGTTCGTCAGTTGGACGGCGGTTGGCGAGAGTCCGTGGTCAACAGGAATGTGTTGGCGACAGCCGGGATCACATTACTGACACCCGAGGAGGCCGATAATCTCCCAGCTGCACAGCAGGGTCGGCTAAATGTCACGCGACAGCCAAATCACCTGCTAATGAAAGCATGACAACACCGGGCCAGGCCTCCCTGCAGAGAACCGAAACCTTAACAAGAAAATCTGAGCTTCTGTTGAGCCTTTACATGTGATTATTCTTTCAACACAAGCAGAAATGTCCGGGTCAAGTGAAATAATATTGATGGTTTCAGGTCCAAATTCACCACTTTGTTTAAGTAAATTGAGTTTTACAACATATGAAAGTAAACCCTCCACTGGTAGATCTGTTTTCAATTTGGTTAAAATGTGGTTTTGAGACTAAAAACGAGGTTAAAGACATAATTTATACACTGTGGAATAAAGATACTGGATCCCAGCAGGATTAACCTGTGTAAGGTTAAATAAAACAAAGCTAAAATAAAAACGCCTCCTGGGTGCGGCACAGTGCCAAGATCCAGAGCTGGATCCAATGTTCTTGTGAGAAATAAAATGACAGTTGAGACATTTTTCTCATTCCGCATTTTGAACATTGCAATTGGGTCTGGCGCTCGGCCCAAAAACTCTTGGAAAGCGGCTTCAAGAGGCTGGCAGACGGCGAGGAACGAGCAGGATCACCGCACTGAAATACTGCTGAGCGGTTTGTGTGTTTCTGGCTTTAGCGATGCTTCTTAAGCAGCGCGATTAATGAATCACAGCGAACTGTGGAGGTTTGCATGAACGCTGCAAAGAATACTCATCCTGACAAGTTTTGCAACATTAAGTTGGTCTAAATAAACTTTAAATAGCTTAATACTTTCTGCTTATTTTGCTCATTTTAATGTCTCAATTATGTTTTTGAAACATTTTGATTTTTTTATATAAAAAATTCTGGAAAGAACAATCACAAATCTTACAGTAAGATGAGATCAGATCTCATTAAATTAGGATAAATTTACCAGTTTGAAAAATAATATTTAGATTACTGATTTCCAACACATTTTTGATGACCCAGAAAAGGATTCAAACACTTAAACCCACTAAAATCTTCCCATTAGAAGCACATTTTCCTTATATTTTTTAATGTATCTATACAATAGATAAATGTAGTTGTTTACAGTGTTTACTGACATCAGGCTCAGACCCAGATGATGAAATATTCCCAGCGGGAGATTCTGATGCTGGAAGCAGATCAGCTGCCTCATTCATCCCACTCAGTTAAAGACAATAACTGTCTATCTTGAAGCCAAATAACGTTTTTATTTGAACCAGCTGAGCTTCCCTATAAACCTTCACCTTTTTGTCACATCTTTATTTCTACATTTGATTTGATGTTTTGCAGGTTGAATATGATTTACACAGAAATCCTGTTGCCTCAAGCCACACTGCTTTAGAGAGCAAGGTTGGTGTTACTGCCAACTAATATCATGAAAAGACCAAAACCAACAATGTGTTAGTCCGTCTCTCAATACTTTCAGACTTCCCTACTCTGTCTACACCTCTTAGCTCAAAGCCCATTGGTTCCTACTGATGACCTGAAGATCATTACAAATGGATCCCAAATGTATAGTTTAATTTTTAACAAAGGTTCAGTAATTTTCTTAAAACAGCTGCTCACTATAGTTTTTAGCAAACAGGAGCAAATAAGGTATTTTTGGGGACTATTTTTAGTGGTGGATTAATCTTCTAGTGAGTATTTGGGGCAGCAGGATGGGGTTGATGTGATGTGTTTTTAATAGTTTCTGAACAACAATGGAGCTTTATGGTACATAGGAAGATATAGCATTCATTGATACACACACAGTACTTGTGAATAGATACATTCAGCGTTGGTTTTGGTCTTTTGGTGGACACTGTTAACGATAATAAAAATGTAGAACATCACCATATTTATCCTTTTTAAGATTATAATCCACAGCACGTATAAAACAACTCTTACAAGCCTTATGTTGAGCAGCAGAACTGTGCCTCACCGTTTGTGTTTTACCACAAATCTTAATCTAATCAGCTCTGAGGTCACCAACATCTCAGCACAGTTCACATGAGAAAACAGTCTGTTT